AATTTCTACTGGTGTCGATCGACACCCATCCTTGGTGTCGATCGACACTACCTCTGAAACAGCAATGTCTTTTTTTTCAGAGTCTTCAAGTCCCACGAAATTCTCTGCACTTCTCACCATGATGGCATTGACATGACGTCTGGGGTTGGTATCAGTCTATCCAGGAAGAAAACCATCTTGTCTCTTGATAGACTCAGCAGTTTGGGCAATTTGAGAATCTAATTTCCTGACATGGGTGTTCAAAGACTCAACCTTCCCATTCAAATCAGTATACAAAGCATCAATCTTCCCATTAAAGTCCACAGTGATCTTCTTCTGACCCTCTAGCAGCTGTTCAAGCATAGCTTCCATCTTACTTGAGGCTGATGGTGCAGGAGGTGGCTGATAAGAAGAGGAACCATAGTTCCTAGTGAAATTGTTGCTCTGAAAGGGCTTCTGATAATTGCCAAATCTTTGACCTTGAAAACCAGCTCCATTGATGAAGTTAACAGCTTCTTCCTCAGCTGATTCGAATTGCTCCACTTCAGCAGCAATTTGGACTGATTTCTTATCCATCAGAAGGCTATGCACAGAATCCAACTTAGTCTTCACTTCTGCAGCAAACTGATTACTATCCACACTTCCAACAAGCTTCTTCCTCTCAAAGTCTGCATTCTTGGTACTATTGCTAGATGTCAAGTTCTCAATCAATGTGATTGCATCTGCTGTAATCCTGGTGTTGAAATTCCCATTGCTAGCAGCATCTAGAGCCATCTGGTACCTCCAATTAACGCCCCTGAAGAAAATGCCAAGCAGCTGCACCTGATTGAAACCATGATGTGGACAGTCCCTCTGATATGACCTGAATCTCAACCAAGCAGTCTTGAAAGCTTCAGCTGGTCCTTGAGAGAAAGAGGCAATTTTCGTTCTGAACTCTTCAGACCTTGCATCATGAAAGAAATTGTTGAGGAAGGTGTTCTTGGTGTCCTCCCAAGTAATCAAAGAGCCATGCTCTAGTTGTTTCAGCCAATAAGCTGTATCTCCTCCAAGAGAATAAGGAAACAGCTTGCAGAACAGGAAGTCATTGCTAACTCCATTAGCCTTGATACTTGAAGCCAAATCCTCAAACCTCTCTATGTGATCCATAGGATGCTCATGTGGAAGACCATGGAAAGGGTGCTGTCCTACTAGCTGGTAATAAGCAGGCTTCACTTCAAAGTCATTCCTCTGAAAGGCAGGAGGGCGGATTGTAATTCTATTTGCATAAAACTGATCAGGCCTATTGAAATCTCCAAGAGTCCTCTGTTGAAAACGCGCAACAGCATTCCCAGCAGCTTGTTGTTGCACATTCTGTGCAACTGGTGGCACAGCTTGTTCCTCAATCACAGCGCCATCATCAGCAAGTCGCTGTCCTTCTTCATTTCGCATGTTACCCTCTGCATCATACAACAGACAATCTTCACCTTGAATCAGCACCAATGAAGCAACCATCTTAACAGGTTTGTTTGCTTTCCCGTTTGTTCACTCTAAACGTGCTAGTGTCTGGTTGTCCAAGTCGATCAGCTCTTTTTCCTTGTTGCTTCGAGTAATGCGATTAGACATGCACCTGAAACAGACAAGAAAATATTAGTAACAAAAATAAAAACTTAGACAAGATTCTAAAACTAAAATCTATAGGCAACGATTAAATCCCCGGCAATGGCGCCAAAATTTGATATGCTCAAATTTACCCTTTGAGCTACTCTCTCAAATTAAGAGATCATTGTAGTATTTAGGGATCGAATCCACAAGGACTTAGATTGTTGCACAATAAATTCCAGATTCAAATCAAGCTAAAGAAAACTAAATAAATGTAATGCAAGTAATGAAAAAAAAGCAGCAAATCGATTGTGAGGAGGTTTTAAATCAAAGAGAGAAACGCTAGGCCTTGGAAAATTTGCAGGTGAATCCGAATTGCAAATCTAGACAGAATGTTAGGAGTTTATTAAGCATTGTTCTTGAACTTGAAACACTAATATAAAATCAATTTCCGCTGCAGAGATTATTTATGTCTAAATCCTAGAATCCCAAATTCTTTTGCAAATTCTATTAATTCAAACAAGCATTAAAATCAGGTTCAATTGTTCACAAAATCCTAAACCAAATTCCTTTGCAGATAGGAATTTTGCTCATCTAAGATTAGTTCTGGTGATTAACAATACTTCCGCATAAATTAATCAACCTAATATCAGATTCTAGGTCATAAATCTAGAATAAGCATTAAACACAAATCAAGATGAAGAACTCTAATAATTTTATCCTAACAATTCAATTCAACCTAGCAATTCATCATCACCTTTGAAAAACCCTAAACCTAACAAGCAAATTACTCAGACATGATCAATGAAACAGAAATCATAATTTGAATAGAAAGCATAAGAGTAATTAATAGAAAAAATAAGAGAGTTCAAAATCTTCTCTATGGAGAATGATTTATCTCTCTAAAAATCTCTATAAAAATCTCTCTCTTAATCTCTTTGTAAAATAAAACTTAGGTCTAAACAATGATCATAAAAATCCTTTTATAGACCCAGAACACGATTTGGAACGAAACTGCAAATATATAAAACTTCTGGGCGAACTTGTAAGTCTTCACAAATCTTTAAACAGTCGGACAAGATTTGTGCACTTTTGGTGTCGATCGACACCAATGCCCTAGTGTCGATCGACACGGGATTTGCACGCGTACTGCATAGTTTTTGCACGACAGTGTACAATTTGTGCACGACTTGATTTCTTCAGCAACATCTTCTGTTTTGCTCCAGAATGCTCCAATATCTCCAAATAAACTCCAAACATATCCAAACCTATAAAGACTCAAAAAGAGTCGAAAAATACCAGAAAAATTCTATAAACAGGACTTATATCATGGTCAAAAACTATCAATAAGTTTTTATTTTGTTCAAAAAAAGGTTTTTATTTTGTTTTCAAAATTTTACTTAAAACTAATTTTGAAAAAACTTCCACACATGCCAGTAAAAAGTTAGTATATGTAAGTTTCAATTAAAATGATAATTTAAAATTAGTAGATATTAGATTTGGTGTTGTTGAAAAATGGATAATCGAGGTTTGGAGTTCTTAGTCTGTGGGCCTCGAATATGTAGCCCAAATACGCCAAAGTTTGGGCTTAATAGTTACTACAAAGGCAAAATCACACATATCCAACTACGTGATGTTTTGCTTAATTTTAACCACACGCTTTTTGTAAATGAAAACGAAAGAAAGCAAATGGCTGGCATTTTATCAAATGCGTCGTTGTCTCAGTCTCATAGTCAAAAGCAGTTTCTCAATATTTCCAACGAATTTTTTTCTACTGAGAATTCAAACACATCAAGCTTTTATTTTTATTTTAGGTTCGTTACAGTTTTTAAGATGTAATATTAGATTTAGATATTGTACTAATATCTTGAATGTCTCACCATTTATCGCATACGTGATCACATTTTCCTGATTATCACATTATATGTAATTTATTATGAAACTAGTTGATTAATAACTATTATTAATTTATTATGGAACTACATGCAAGTTCAGAATAATGCAAGGAAATAGTTAAAAAAAAAAAAATTACCTTGACAAATGTCATAATTCATATTGGCGTGTCAAAGTCCAAGTGCATGGACGAGCCTCAGTAATGTGGCAAGAATATATTTATAGTTTAACTCGTAAGGAAAAAATTCTTCAAACTTAAAATTTTAGACATAAATTGATATAACACAACTTGCCCAATTAAAATCATTTTTTTTTGGTAGGACACAATCTATGTGTGTACTATCGAATTATTAGTCCAAGCATGTGTGGTTGTGAAAACGTTTCATCAGTTTTTTTTTTTTTCTTTTCTTACATGTACACATGAGAAATCTATATACAAACCTGAACGACCAGTATTATCTTGTATTGCATGTTTGCTATCTATATATTTAATTACATCTGAAAAGATATAGTTTTTAAAAACAGTTGGTTATAAGTTCTAGAAGCTTGTGAATTTAGTTAGGATTTTATATTCTGGGAAGGACACATAAAACTATACTTGTATTAAAATATTCATGATTTCAGATATCTAGAGGTGTAACGAGGAATACTGGAATATATAAGCAGAAAAGGGAAGAGAGAAAATGAGCTATATACAAATCACATGATTATACTTTTTGTGGTAATAGTTAAGAGATTCTTCAACAATCCACAAATAGTTATGATACTTTCACTACTTTGGTACGATCTTTTCTTTCTCATTTTAATGGCCTTAAATATATTATTACTAGTACTTCTAAAAACTAAAATAAAGATATCCTGAGACGTCGCTTTTTGTCAATCTTGTTGACATGGATATTTATTCATGGTGTATGATCAAAGAGATTTTAAAGTTTTAAACACAATTCTTGGAAACTATAAACAAATAAGTAATAATCAAAAATATTTATTGCCTCAGCAAAATTAATTTAATATATATCAAAGAAGCTAACAAAACTATAATTAGTTCATTAAAAAACTAAAATTAGTTCATTAAAAAACTATAATTAGCACAATAGTAACCTAGTTTTGTTTAAAAATGGAAATGTAAGTACAATTCACCAAAAATATATTTGATTAATTAAAGCAACATTTGTATAGTTTTATAAGAAGCTTTAATAATAAGATTATTTGAGGTTGATCAAAAAAAAACAAAAAAAAAGAATCAATTTTGCCATCCTCTCTTGACCGTGTTTCAAAGCTTTGCACCATACGACTTTGACTCTCTCTTTCTGAAATATTTCTCTCTCTCTTTTGGCTGCTTCTTCTCTCTACTTTTCTCCACTTTAATATTTTTCTTTTCTCATATTTTTTTCAGATGAGAAAATAAAAATCGAACGAATAATTTTCCCTCCCTTGTTATCACAGAAGCTCAGCAATGAAGCTCTGAATATCTCATCATCATCGTCTTCTTCTTCTAATCTCATAATCTTTTATTCTGTTGCAGAACGTGACACGTGTAATCATCCTACATGGACGCAATCTTCTTAACGGATGATCCGAATACCCGGAAACAGTTAATCGGGGCGCTAGCTCAATCTTTCGGATGCGTTTACGTTTGTCTCTGGTCCTATTATTTCCCTCGACCTACGAAGTAATAAACACAGCTTCCTCATTCTCGATCGTTACATAAATACACGTTACACATACATATATATGTTCATACTCATACATCTCCATAATGTATGTTTTTTAATCACAAGATGCATTTGATTTTGATCTGTAGCTATTTGATATCATTGGATGGATACTACAATGAAGCTTCTCAAGAGCCTTCAACTTCTACTGGAAGTTTAGCTAGAAGCCTATTCCATGAGTATCGACAATCCATTATCCCTCTCCAAAATGGGTAAGATTATTCATAAGTCATATGTGTGCTTATATATAAATACAAATATATAAAAATGGAATGTTTGAGTTCATTATGTCTATGTCTCTGTGTGTGATAGATTAATATATAATCGAAATGTTTTGATTTTTCAATGAAGGCATATACCGAGCATGGCGTTCATGAATAATCTCCCATACTTGGAGATTCGACCACAAGATATTCAAAGACAAACTTTCAACGACGCACAACGTCTCTTCTATCAGGTCATTATCAATTCTAATCTCTTTAATTAACTAATATTAATACTAATACCATTTAGTTTCATTTTTATCCATTTATATGAATATGCACTGATAAACTATTCTTCATTTCGTTTCTTTAACTATCGCAGGAAGCCGGGATTCAGGTACATTATATAATTTGCATGATTTCTTTTCTCGTTGGTAAATCTAGTTTGCTTAAATATTCGACCAAATGTACTAAATACATACAAACATATGATATCGTAAATATGTATTATGATCAGACGGTGATATTCATGGGTTGCCGGAGCGGAGAGATCGAACTCGGATTGACGTATGACGCTGCAAGTGTATGATTCCCCAACGTATAATATTAATTTTATAAAACCATAAGAATTTATTACTAAGAGATATTTAAATTTATGTCTTTGTCTTTCACTCAATATAATAAATACTTATGCTACTAATGTTCATTGACCCAACGACAGATGAAAATAGAAGCAAGTCTTCGAGAATGGTTCCCTGAAGATTTCAAGAAAAAGTCTTCTCCGGTCAACTCCGACTATCTCCGGCCACCGCCTCCACCTTCTTCATCATCTTCTTCTCTTAGGTCACTAGACAGTCCCCAAAACGTCTCAGAATATTCCTCTCTCTTGTTCCCACTAATCCCTAAACCTTCAACGACGACTGACGCCGTTAACTTTCCGTTACACCCGCGGTTAGCTCCGGTCTCAACAACAACAACGAGAAACATGATCCATCAACAACAGCAAGAGTCTTTGTTCCGTAACCGTGAACGTGAGGAGGAAGCAATGACGCAAGCTATCTTAGCGGTCTTATCGGCGTCGTCAAGTCCTCCGTCTACTTCTTCCTCGCCGCACCGAAAAGGAAACGCCACCGCTTTTAAGAGATATTACTTCATGGTTAGCGGTGGGAGCGGTAGAGCGCCATCGCCGGGTGTACGGAAGCAAAGTATGATGAAAAGAGCGATTTCGTTTTACAATAGGCTTAATATTCACCGGAGAAGGGAAAACGCTACTACGGGCGGCGGTGATGGAAGCGGTGGAAGCGGCGGAGGGCGCGGGCCAAGCGCAACGCAGTTGCATCATATGATATCGGAGAGGAAACGTCGAGAGAAGCTTAATGAGAGCTTTCAAGCGTTGAGATTTCTACTTCCTCCGGGAACTAAGGTTTGTGATAGATTCTTTATTTTTTTCATGATTTAAGTTCCATAGTATACTATAATTTCAATTCGCTAATCTATTCAGAATTTCATAAGAAATATTTTATAAACACTTTGGGGAAAAAGTTACTTTCAATGATGAGATCATAATATTTTAACGTGTAAATGCAAACGCAAACGTTATATTTCATGATTACATACATTTCATAAGCTATAAGATTCAGCCATAATATATGTTTGAGCTAATGTTATGGCTAAAACTTTTTTGAACAGAAAGATAAAGCATCGGTCCTCGCCACTGCAAGGGAGCAACTAACGTATTTGCAAGGAGAGATTTCGAAACTACTAGAGAGAAACAGAGAGCTAGAGGCGAAGCTAGCCAGAGAAAGGGAGATGGAAAACAACTTACGACCCGATGAGAGGTTTAATGTTCGTATAAGTAATATTCCGGAATCAACATCGAGAGAGAGGATACTAGATCTAAGAGTTGTTCTAAGAGGAGAAAACATCAGGGCTGATGCTTTGATGATAAGGCTTCTCGAATTCTTGAAGCAAATCAACAATGTCAGTTTAGTATCAATCGAAGCTCGAACTCGAGATAGAGAAGATGGAGATACAACTTTGGTTGTTCTTGTGAGCCTAAGGCTCAAGATTGAGGTAATGTAACATATCTTGATTTCTATATTTAACTAAGGGTTGCATATATCATATATGTGATTGTTTACATAAAAGAAATGTAGAAAGTTATGTTCTCTAAACTTTTGTCAAATAAGTTATGTTCTGTAAACTTTTGTCAAATAATTTAGTGAGATTTATTCTAGGAATTGCATGTATTGGTTGGATAATTTGTTAGGTGGAGTATCACGTGACATATTTATTTTTATTTATTTAAAGTCGATTTTTTTCTTCCACATAAATTTGTTTGATAGTGTCTAATTATTTCCCAAATATTTATGTATGATTGATAAGATAAGTAGATAACCACTAGTTTGGTCTTGACTAAAAGGTTTATTAGTCATTGGAAGAAAAAAACGTTAAAACTTTTGAAATTATAATATTGTTTTGCAGGGTGAATGGGACGAATCATCCTTCCAAGAAGCAGTCAGAAGAGTTGTTGCTGACTTGGCTCACTGACAAAAGTTTGATTATTTCCTAACCATAAATTTATTTTTTATAATTACTAGTTCAAATTTTATTCCTATTTTACGTTTACAAGTTAATTTTAAATTCAAGTGGTTACATTATTTATGGACAGTCATTATTATTATTTTGGCGTGCTGGGCGGCTCCTATCGTTTTCCATGGCCTCCTCTTGTTCTTATTACTGTGGACCGTTTCAGCCGTTCGTCGCTAGCTCGTGATACAATCTTCACCGTTTGTTTCTGTCCATTGTTATGGTTATTACCGTATTATTTTGTAATTCGCAAATTTATCACTATAGACAAATTGATGTTGTTTCTCTTAAAAAAACAAATTGTGTTATATTAAATTAATATTCTTTGGAGGTTTATGATTCATGGGTCGTATTCGTATAACCTGGTAGTCAATAATTGTTGTACTTTTCGTGCGTACGATTTCAAGTTGTATATATATATATATATATATTTCTAATAAGTTGCATAGATTAATTACTATTATTCGTTATAAACTTTTTAAATGGCATCCAAGTCGTCTGGCTGAAATAAAATATTTTCAAAACATATAAAATTCTGAGTCACACGATATGTAGAATTTCTCCCCAAATTATGTGGCTAAGTTTAATTTTCTTTTGTCGCCCAAATTGACTGACCTTTTGTTTGCTAAATGGAGAAAGGAAACAGATAAGGACATCTTTAGATAAAAATAAAAAAAGGAAAATTCAAGAAATTGAGGACGACATATGTCGATTAATTCCATTTAAGGAATTTTCCTAGTTTATGACCAAATTCAGATTGTAGAAATACCATACAAAAATCATTTCCCAATAAATTTAGAAACGTGATTAATTCCAACGTACAAGCACAATACCTTTCTTTTGTCGACTGTGTATAATCAGGCCCGGTCCAATTAAAATAATGATCCAAAATTATAAAAGAAAAAGATGTAAACTTTATTTGATCATTTTAAATTTGTGGCTCATTTTTTAAATTTTTTCAAAATTTGTGGCCTATTTTTTAGCCTAATTTTTTCAAAAATATTGGTGGCCCTAAGCACTGGCTTAGCCCGCCTACCCTCTGAGCCGGCCCTGTATATAATATACCATTCATATCATCATAACGTAACAAATTCAAAGAAAATATACTACTTCATTTGCCTCATGAAAATTAAGGTCTTAAACTTCATTACGTACAAGGATTTATGATGTTTTGTTCATTTCTATGAATATGAATATATAATACTCCAAAGTGTAGGTTTAATTTCAAATACCTTAGCGACTAAAAAGGATGTAACTGAATCCGTTCTCTCTGCCTATCCAGATTAGCAACGCAGCTTCATCCCAATTCCCAAGCACATACTGTTCCCTCTACTATTAAGATTCAAGAGTGATTTTGTTACTATGGTTAATTTAGCCACAGTCTTACAACAAAACAAGCTTTTTTAAAAATCTCAGAAACTAGTATTGCTTCGGCAGCCTCCTCCTCTAAGCTAGCTAGGTCTCTCCACCGTATGCTCCCATCGTATTCGCACGTCGTCATCTGATTTTCAGAAGCAAGGATAAATTGAAAAAAAAGAAATTGCCAAGAAAAGAAAGGTGGGTCTAAGTGTCACAAGACAAAAAAATGGGGCAGTCAGCAGAAAATTCAGAAGTTATGAATTTGGAAGACGACAGTTTTGACCAAATTGAACCCTCTCCCGTATCTCGTAAAGCTGCGTAGAGGCTATTAAAAATTTTAAATAACCTTTTTACTTTATTGAGAAACTCCTTTATTAACACTTAAACACGTGGAACCTCTCAAGATTATTATGCTTCTAGACTTCTACTAGTTTCTTAAAGATGAAAAGAATGTTGACTATTGTTATAGAAAAAAGTGATTAGCTCAAAAGCTTAGTTAAAATGTCTTGAAACATTGTATCATAGTAGAATATAGCCTTTGACAAAATAGATGTCTTTTTCTATTTTTTTCATCGCTATGAAATTCACTCTTTAACGAAAAAGAAAAGAATCCACTCACTATGGATGTGTATGATTTTTATAACTCATATTACACCTGATATGTCTGCATGTAGCTGTTTTAAGAAAAAATGGAACTTGAATGAGATCAAATTAAATTGCTGGCTGAATAATTTGTACTCGCGAGCCTTTTTTTGATCCATTGATTCAATCATTTGACTTAAAGATACATTTATCAAAATATTATTGAATTGTTGAGTAGTTTCAGTCCTGTTTTTGTTAGGCTGTGGCTTGTGAGGGAACATAACTTTATAGACTATTATTACTGGGACCCGACTATTACTATTACCATTACAAACATATACATAAAACCCTACATACCAGCCTCAATTTTGTATATCCGTGCTATTAAAGTTGTTATACAAGATCCCTTTAAAACAATGTATTTAAAATCTGAAAAATTTAATTCGTTGAAGTGATGTTTTAGTTCCCCATTACATTCTGAAATGACAATTATGCTTGTTGAATACATAACTAAAAAAGTCTATAAACAAGGACTTCATTCACAATAATAATATTAATAAAAAGTAAAAACCAAAAGGGACTTAATTCAAGTGGTAAAAAAAGATAGTATAATTGATGAACACAATAAGATTTAAAACTCAGTAATTCAAATAAACATAAAAGCGCGAACAAACAAAAATAATTTATCAAATATATCCTCACGAGAGCTCACTCTTTGCCTACAGCAAAACTTATATGAGCAATCCTCAAAACATTTCGACTCAAATAGAAGCAAATCTAAGCCAATGAAGAACTTCACTCAAAACCCAAAATATATTTTTTGCTTCTCCAATTTTCGATTTTGTTTACTGTTGCTTGCATTCAGGAGGCCTCTCGCCTTGTTGCCCATCGTTAGGATGAGGTCTACCTCCTTTCTGCAATTTGAGTTTAAAAAGAATATATTAATCTACCTGATAATCACAAGCATTACCAGATTTAGTCTAAGCTCAAGTTTCTATGATTCACAAATTCATACATTACTGAGCTTGACCAGTTAATTTCAGCTCTCTCTAAAACACAGTTCAGGTTCACTAATTTTGTGACCTGATCATGGCCAGATGATTTGACAGAAACTATAGGTTTAACTCAGAATAAATACTATTACGAGGGAGGAACTGGTTATGTACCTTGTGTAGGATTGAGGGCTGCATAAACATTTAACCAGTTTTAAAAAAAATTAGTAATCAAACTATATAAAAAAAGTTATTGCCTACTTCAAAATAAAAGGGGAATTCAATACCTTCTTTTTGGTCTTGCTTACTTCTTCCTCTTCATCATCCTCGTCCTCATCGTCTTCTTCCTCATCCTCATCATCTTCTTCATCCTCGTCTTCGTCCTCGTCAATATCATCTTCATCGTCATTGTCTATGTCAAACTCTTCTCCTTCAATAGCCTCACCAGTAAACCATGAGACAGCATGAGGTATAATCTTCTCCCGGATTGTAGAACTGAAGGAAGCAAGAAACACTTGAATCAGATCATAAAATTGTATAAAATTGGCCATAAAGGATGCTAAATACAGCTTCCATATAGACCCAAATGTATAGATCGACAGAGTTTATGTTTAGAAGAAAACGAACCCAATGTCATAATCTTGTTCCATCAGATTCTGAAGTTCCTCAGCCTGCACCAAGAACATAAAACGTTATTAGAAAGCTTGTGAAACATAGTCAAAATAGGAAATGTCTTTAAACTAAATGATTCCGTACTCTCTCCTCGTCAATGTCCTCATCATCGTCAGGAACCTGGGGAGGATTGAAGAAGTTGAAGAAGCTTTCACAGTCTTCAGTTTTGGTGATTGGCTTGGCATTCTTCGCACCTTTCTTAGGCTTCTTCTTAAGAATCTTCTGAGTTAAGCATTTTCCAGGATACCAATCAATCTCTGTCCTGAGAGAAAGAACAAAGAAACAAAACCAATGTTGGAGCATAGGTCGGAAAAAGATATGCTATGGAACAAAACAAGAAAGTATGAACAATTACCCAATAGCCTTCTCAAGCAGAGGCTCATCTTCATCAATCATATGATAAGCCTTTGTCAAAAGGGTGTTCTTAAAGTAAGGGTTCTGGTCGAAGAAAAACTCGAGTTTGAATCCCTTTGGTTCTTCAATCTTGCACCACTTAATGTCTTTAAGATACATGAGGGCTCCTTCATCACGCTCTGTTATCTGATATCAAAAGGAAATCAAAACTCCGGTCATTTTCCATGGATTTGAGTGGAGTAACTCTAAATGAAGAACAGTAGCTGCAACACCAACCTCCTCAGATATAACATCGTTGTTTTTCAGGGCGGTCAGCCAGAAACTAGGGACTCCTTTCTCTGAAAAATCCAACACGGTGAAATAAAACAAATTGTTTTTTCGAGAAAATGATAACAATTTACAAAGGTAAAGAGAAAGAGAGAGAGAGAGAGAGAGAGAGAGAGAGAGAGAGAGAGAGAGAGAGAGAGAGAGAGAGAGAGAGTACCTTCTGCAGCTTTCTCCTCTCCTTGGTCCATCTTAGTATCCTCTGGAGCCCCTTCGACTTCGGTAGCTCCATTCACAATCTCGTAACGCTGCACATTCCAGGTGTCAAGCAAGTATCAAGAGAAAATCAAACATAAATACAGCCAAAACAGCTGCGGATTAAGAAAAATACATTTTCATCTGTTTTGATGAAATGGTTTCTGCTTCAGATAAAACAATTAGAAGAAAAAAAGGCTTGATCTTGTCATAACCAATTACCTTGGTATACAAAGGCTGATACAACTTTTGATACTTGGCTTCAAGGGCAGCTCTCTCCTCGCGGAATTTTGTCTCTATTTCATCATGTTTGCCCTGAAGAGAAAAATATTTCCAGAAAATCATGATCAAGAGAGTGCACATTGCTTTACAAATTTGACATTCATCATTCGGCTATGCAAGGAAGATATTCTTATATAAATTCAACATCAGACTCATAAGATTTCATATCAATCTACACTAATCCATTAAAACATAGCTCATATAGGTAACGGTAAACACAGCATAAACCTCGAACTTTTAGAAAATGCAAATGAATTTTTTTCCTAACCTGAATCTCCCTTAAGACCTCAACACGCCTTCTGATTTTAGGAGTCAGATTCTCGAGCACATCAGAATGCTGCCCAGCCAGATTCTGCAGCTTGTTCTGTGAAATCAAACATACAACAATTACAGCAAATCACCAAGGAAGCTCGAATATAGAACACGAAGCGATTCCTCCTAAACGCGGAAATATCAATGAAAACCTCAGGAAACGAAACCCCTGAATCGCACATTCCTTCAAGTATACTGCGATACATAGAAACTCACCTTAAGAGCGTTCACAAGGCCTGCTCGATCCTCCTCTTTAAGAGCTGCTAAACAAAATAGGAAACAAATAAACTCCTAAAACATATGGAGAGCTTAGGACTAAGAAAACTTTTGAACAAGACGAAGCAAAGCCGCAGAAACGAATCGGACAGATTAAAAATTACCAGCAGTGAGATCGCTGACGTTGAAATTGTCCTTATCGTTGCTCATTATTGCTGAAAATCTCGAGATCAAAAATGGAAAAATATTTCAGAAAAAAAGAAGAGGAATAGGGAGACTGTGTTTTGAAAAGTGGTGGAGAGATTGAGGAAGAAGAGAAGACGAGGGTTTCTGGGTGGCGACTAAACTCACAAAACGACGTGGCTTCCTTCATAAACCTAACAACTGCCATTTTTAATTTCCCTCGCTGGCATTTCCCATTACTCTTTTTCACTTTATTTCCACTTTAACTTTTTGAATGAATAATTTAACAGCTAATAAAATATATGGCTAAAAGTTTGAATATCCATCGAATAAGTTTTTAATAAAACTATGAAATTTGATTTTCAACATACATAAGAAGTAGAAATTCAATTCCCTTATTAATCAGAGTGAAAAATGCGTGCCGGTTCAACAAAAGGCTGATAAACACCTTGCCGTTTAACCCCAAACAGAGGGAATATTTGCAAAGAAACAAGCCAAGAGATTATAACTAGAAATGTAAATCACAGAAGTAAACAAAGTGAACTTAGAAGCTACAACGACAAAAGGCTAAACACGATCAATCCACGGACTCTTGTCTTCTGCATCATCTTCTTCCTTAAGCTGAGATAAATTATGGAGTATTTTCTTCTGCATTGACTTCTTCCTTAGGCTGGTTATCGTTAACTGGTTTCTTCTCCGCATCCACATAGCGACCTGTCATTGGATCAACCGGGCGAGTGTCTCGTGGTCCACCTTTACGTCCCATAGCCACCATTGGAGGAGGAGGAAGTAAACCGGATCTGAAGAGGAGACGTTGAACCGGGTCCGATGGCTGAGCACCAACAGATAACCAGTACCTGCACATTTACAACAAAAAAAAAACACAGACAGAAAACGTCCTTTAGTCAAAATCTACAATGCATCCTTTATTGAAATTGCCTATTCAAAACAAGAACTTTTGATTGTATGACGTCGGTTTTAGGTATTAGTACCACATTCTAGGTAATCTTGGCGTGTGTTCTGCTACAGTCTAGACCTTATAGACGCTTGATTTTAGTTGGTGCGAAAGCGCATGACAAGATTCTAAAAGATACACGAAGCAGCAGTTCCACAATGATTTGATTTTTGATCTTCCTTATCATAGTTATTGATTGAAATTCAATGATGTATGACATTGCTTCAACCAAAGGTTAAAAAACATGACAAGAAAGAAAAAACCATTCGAGACTGAACTCAGCTTTGTATTAGATCAAAAGACAGTTAACTATAAGTCTATAACAATGTATGATGTTGATTATGAAACAATGTATTATGATTTTTAGAGGCAGCTAAGCCCTGACTGATATCTAGAGCCCACTACCTTCATTAACCCAGTTATAGCTTCAGTCAACCAAACACTTGAAATGCCAAAAAAAAAAAAAAAAAAAAAACAGTGGTTCAAGAAGGTTAACGACAACTTCCAGAAACAAGAGATTTAAAATGCATTGCTCCTCTAATTTGAACACATCACCATCTTTCACAAAACAAAAATGTAGTTCTAGTCAAATTAAGACTAAGAGAGATTCCTTATAACAGTGACTTAAATCATCAAATCCATTTACAAATTCAAAAGTGAAATAGGGAGACCTCCAGATACTAACACGTATCTTCTAGTGGATTCAAGACCTCTTTTTCTGAGTAAATTTAGCCGAAAAGCTCATGGAATTATCGGAATTATGAAGAACATACATTATTCGATCATGGAATTATCGAAATTTTACACGTCGTTCCAGAAACCAAAGAAGAGATCAGAAGAACATACTTTATTCGATCGAACTTGAGACCCATTCTCTTACCACCGTCCTGCCCTGCACATAACCGAAAAAAACGAGATCGTGTAAGAACCAACGAAGAGAGCAAACGAAATCCTACGAACAAATATGAACTCCAAACACAGAATACACTTTCTTCTCACTCACCTGGCAAAGGATTGAAGTAACCTAGGACCTCGAGATGCTTCCCGTCTCTCGGGGATCTGCTATCAGCGGCCATGACCCGGAAAAATGGTCGATTTTTGCATCCCAGTCTCGATAATCGGAGCCGTACAACCATCTTTCACTTCCGATTGGCGAAAATACGAAATGAATCAAAGCGGAGCAATCCGATTTGGGATAAATGGGGGAGAGATAGAGAGAGACTGAGCTTCAATTTTGGTTCGAAACTTGCAATCGATAAGAGTTTAGGGTTCAGGGTTTTCTCTACGGGGTTGGTTCCTTGAACGACGACGTTTAAAGACGTCCCCTTTAACGGGTCAGTCAAAAGACTCAAAGCCGTCTGTCTCACTTTTATTTAAGAATTTTTCACGGCGCCGTTAAATAAGAAGACGGCGTTTTTTCATCTTCCGCCTACAAGAGGATTTACAAATCGGTCTACCGCCACAAGACGGCCATTCTCCGGCGACGGCGAGAGGAAGGTGACCGTATCGGCTCCGATTGAGATTGTTTTCCGTAAGCGACGATGGAATCTTCCGTCCCTCCGGTTCCTCGCCGACGCTCGCATCTGCGGAACCGGTCTTATCGCTCTATGATTCATCACCTCTGCTCGAGTTTCGATCGGGAACCTCGGGTTTCCCTTGCTACACCGGCTGTTCTTAAGGAGTTGGTCTTAAGAACAGGTTAGTTCGAGTATAATTGAAGCTTTTTTTTCTCGTGTGTTTTGATTAGGAATGCTTAATTCATCTTCTCGTATTGAAATTCGAATTTCTTTCTGTTGATTGAGTTTCATAATTTCGATATTAGCCAGAAACTATTAGTGTAATCTCAGTGTAGTATTAGTTTGAATCGTATGATCCTATATCTGATGCTATTGTGTTTATTTTTTGGCAAAGATATTGCTCAGGTGTCTCCGGGAGAAAAACGTACTGATGAAAAGCTGCCGGAGAATTCATCGATCCCGGAACCAATATCCGATGGAGGCTCCGGCGAGTCAAGAGCTGAGAAGGAGGAAACGATTTCACAGGAAAACAGTTTGATGCTCGGAGATGTTTTTGACGGAATTGACTTGGAAGATGCATCTATCAGTAGTCAACAACACAAAGACTTTTTCGATGAATTTGAGCTTATGATAAATGAAAGTGAAGACTTTGTTCCGGAGACTTGTGTGAATCTCTTTGAGTCATTGGATGTGAATGACTATGATGATGATGGGATGGCGAAACAAGCGATTGATCTCGTTCAAAGTGTCGCAGAGAAGCCTGATGTTGCAACTGAGCTTCGAGTAGATTCAGTAGAAGGTGATGACGAGAAGATTTCTGAATTTATTGGGATTAAGGCAGAGGAAGCTCCCAAATTAGCTGAACGTAATGGAGTTATAAGTCCTGGAGTTTTGGAGACTAATAATGAAACACTTGGTAGGGAGATGGAACCGGAGAAACCTGTTAATAGTAGTAGTCAGGTCGTGGCAGCTTCTGTTTCTCAGATGGTTGAAGATGACGATGTCGAAGAAGGAGAGATATCTGGGGATGATGATAATGATGATGATAATAATATGCTTATAGATGATGATTTGCAAGTCGAAAGGCACGAGGAGTCTCATGACACACAAGATGTATTGGATCAAAGAGGAGCAGGGACTAGTAAGAGTTCTTGTTCTAGTCTCTTTTCTGGTGTTGAGGTACTGAAAGTAGAAAATGGAGTAAAGGAGAAGGATCAAACTTCCAAAAACCAAGAAAAGGTACGTTGTTATGGTCTTGTATATGGCGTTTACGAAATCTGACTTGTGTTGTTACTTTTGTATCTGCAGATGGCTTCTGGAACTAGCATAAAGAAAAGGTCTGCTCCTTCTAAGGAAGCAAAAGCTAAAAAGAAGGTAAACATATCATGAGAGTATCTTGTAATCAGTTTTTTTTTTGTGTGTGTGTGGAATAAGATGTTTGGCTTATTATTGATAAGCTATTTTATGCAGGCAAAATTTCGCAAGAAAAGAGCTCAAGAGCGTATATCCCTTGGCGTGAAAAGGCTGAAACTTAAAACAGTAGCTCCGACACCAAAACCTGTAAAATATTGTCGACACTATCTCAAGGGACGGTGCCATGAGGTATGTATATGCACAATGGCTCTGGATTCTACAAAATTCTTAAAAAATGTTGTTTTTCTTGTTGCTGATGGAAACTCTTTTGCTTGTTTTTGCAGGGAGAAAAATGCAAATTCTCACACGATACAACTCCGGAAACCAAATCTTCGGTACTAATTAGAACTTTATATAGCAATCATTTAGACTAAAGCTGAATCTCTCTAGTCTCTCTAGTCATACTCATGTCTTCTTGCTGTTTCAGCCTTGCTGCTACTTTGCAACTCAGTCATGTATGAAAGGAGATGATTGTCCGTACGACCACGATCTCTCCAAATACCCTTGCAATAATTTCGTTAGCAAAGGTTTCTGCCACAGGGGTGATAACTGTTTGTTTTCTCACAAGGTAATAAAACCAATCTCGGTCTTCTCGTTATACTTCTTCCGAGTCTAATTATATATTTTGATCCTGATTCACCAATCTTCATCACTTAACAGAGTACTCCACAAGCTGCTTCAGATGCACCGAGTGGAAATGTAACAACCTCATCAACTAGCATGGCTGCAGCGTCTTTCTCGACCCAGAAATCAAATAAACAAACCGTGAGAGACGCCATAGCCAGATTACCGGCGATTCAAGCAAGAGTTTCAAGCTCTGCTGCGTTTTTGAAGCCCTCGAGTCAATCTAACCAAAGAAGCTCATCTGATGCATCATCTCCGAAGATCAATGAACATGTAACACCTCCACAGTTTCCTCCTTTGAGAAAACCATCCGTTGCTCCAAAGGGTATGAGTTTTCTCTCTTTGGACAAAGCCTCACGAGGGGAATCGAAGCAAAACACACACGACACTGATGATCAGAGCTTGAAGCAGTCACAACAGAAAAGCTCTCTCCCTCTGGTGCCTCCAAAAGGAATGAGTTTCTTATCGTTTGGATCAGAGGAACACAAAGCTCTGAATCAAGAGCCTCAAGAACGTGCAAGTAGTAGAGTTCTCAAGACAACGGCTAACTCGCATGTTCAGAGTTCTCTAAACTCAGCCATGAAACTCGTTGCAGAATTTGAATCTGCTAAAGCTGAAAGACGCACCAATGATCCCGCAGAAGCTGTAAATAAAGGCGATGTTACAGTTAACACGAGTGTAACCAGAAACGCAGGGAACATATCGTCCAAGATTCTGGAGTTCTTGTCGAGCTTCGGCCATGGCCCAAACTGATCTTCGTTTGTTTTTTTTTTTGAGATAAAGGATAATTCTGCCGGACGGATAATCAAATTCTAAAGGTTTAAATTCTTCTGAGATTAGATAAATCCAATGGGGAGGTGATAAATGTGAATGTAAATAACTATTGCATTGATGTATGAATAATGAAATGATTCGAGCAAGGTCTGATTCAATTGCCACGTGTAAGCAGGGAATGGCATTTTATAGTTTCATCCAATATAAAGTGACAAGCGAAAAATCATAAACAATAATTATAAGGATATTAAAATGCAAAAAAAAAGAATTTTATGAATTATTTTATGTGGTTATAGAGAATAAACAGATGTGGTTATACAATTAATTATGAATTATTTTATAGTTACTGAAGCTAATTTCCCTAGTTATATTTATTATATATTGCTTATTTTTATCAATTTATTGTCATTAATAAAAATATCATTAAATTCATCATAAACTTATTTGGATGTTTTGGACAATATTTGATTCAAATTACAAATTACATGAAAGATGTGAATTACTCGATCAAATATAGCATCTTTCAAGACTTGAACACATAAAACTATCATAAAATGGCACCACAACGTGATTATAGTTTTTTGTCGAGATTGCTATATGTGTAATGACATCACAACGTTTTGGCTCTTTTCAACCGCAAATCAACTACATAGCCAGTGTAAGAACAACCAATGAAATTGTAGACTTGAAGTCAATGTCCAACACCGAGTGTTGTTGTTGCAGCATAATGTTTACATAAAGTATCCCTAATTAATGAATAATGAAATGATTCGAGCTAGTCAAAACATAGTCTGATTCAAGTGCTACGTGTAGTAGAAAACGGCATTTTATAGTTTCAGCCAATACAAATTAAGAAACCAAAAATCATAAACAATAATTATAAGAAGATGAAAATACAAAAAAAAAAAAATTGGATCAGTTTTGGCCATGGCTGAATAATGTAACTTTATATAGTTTATTCATTCATATTGACCAAGTTGAAGCAAATGAGATTCCAGGAGCAATATATAGGCTTGTGATTGTTAGAAAGAATCTCAGGTTCTAACTGTGATTATTTAAAAAAAAAATAAGAATGAAAAGAATAAAAAATATTCTTTTTTATTCTTTCTTCCAAATTGAATAAGAAACGTTTTTGTTTTATAATTTCTTAAATAATAACAAACTAGGTTACTATCTGAATCAAAATATTACTTTTAGTTAAATTTATGTATATATATAATATTTTAGTGGGCTTAAATATGTTATTAGAAACAATTTGAAGTAGATAAAACAATTTTAAATTAAAATAAAATAAAACCCAATCTTTTCAAATTTTTAGAATTAATTTCTTATTTTTTTCTGTATTTGTTCGAATTTTCTATTTCATTCCTCATTCTATTTAATATAATTACTTATTTACAACTATTTATTTTACTTAAATGAATATGTAAAGAATATAGAAAAGCAAACATGTATAAGATCAAGTATTCATATTATCTATTTAAAAAATTGAAAATTTACAAATTATATATTTTCTAATTTTGAGAAATTATACAAAAAATCCTACATTTTCTCTAACTTTTCTGAAATTGTCTGAATTATATGTTTTAAAGTTGGCATTTATTCAAATTATTGAGAATTTAAGAAAAATTTGTAGATAAAGAAATGTTTCAAGTCTATCATGTTATCCAAATTTTTAGTCATGTTCTAATCGATATTTTTTTGCAATTTTTTTTTAATCCAGATATTTTTCAAAAACTTATATTTTTTAGTTAATACTAATAATTTGTGAGAACAATAATATTTGGCTTCAAAAAAATTTTTGGTTGAATTCTGATTTTTATATGTTAGTTTTGACAGTAAACTATTCGGCCCAAATGATATCAATATTTTTGTTATGTTATTTATAAACAAAAAAAAATATTCGATAAATAACATTATTTGTATAAAATTGAGAATCTTTTTATAGATGTAGAATAACTGTTAGGTACTACTTCTTTGTCGTAAAATATCAAACAGTTTGATCGACATTTTTTTTTGCTCTTTCAAAAGGATTTTAATTAATTTTTCTTTTTCTTTTGATGCAAAAATGGAGATTTTAGGAATTCAAGAAGTTATAACTGTTTTGACTAATTAGTGAGCTGAGGGGGAACTTAGTCAACCTTGTGAGAATTAACCTCTCACACTTACTATTAGTGTAGTTTTTTTTTGTTTTTTTCCAAATATGAAAGCATTTAAACAAACTGAGTGTAGCTTTTGAAATCCATATATGTTACTCCTTAGGCCATTGAAAACAAAAAAATATCAAAAGGAGTATTATTTCTTTTTACACCTAAAGGAGTAATAAATAAAATACATAATTCACACAAAATGGAGTAGATTGAGTCTAATCCTCTTTAGCTTTATTTTGTTTTCGGGAATCAACATTTACACAGTAACACGTTTTGTGTATCTGTTCCATATATCTAATGTGTTATGTTGACTTGAACAGAAGACCAAAATTGTAAATACAATTACCATTGTCAAATCTAATCTAACAACAGTTATAATGTAAGCACATATTGATTCTTTGATACAAAATCTTACATTAGATATGAGTAACATCACCGATCCAATTTAACTGAAACACTCGCACAAATCACACCACCTGTCAAATTTATATTAAAACTATAGAAGATAAGTGTTTATAAGTTTACAAACCTTACATAATGACAATCGTTTTCAATTATTTCATCCAGTAAAACCTCATATGTATTCAGTTATACTCTTCTTTTGTAAACATAAATTTTATGAATCTAGAGCTGACTGAGTCAAAGATTCAAACTCGGTAAAGCGGTTTGGGAAACTTGGCCGAGGAACACCTTTCACAGAGTCATTGGTATCTAGGACTGGCCCATGGGGCAAGCAGGAGAAGCCAATGATTAGGACATCAAAAAATTTAGGGGTATTATTTTTAAAAATGTTCAATATTAAAATTATTTATTATTTTGTTTCAAAATAAGTGTTATTTTGACATTTTTCACACAAATTAAAAAAAGTATTAAAAATTCTATTTTACCTTTTGTTCACACACAAAATAACATTCTCTTTCTAATTAATACATTAATATAACAAGGTTAAAACAGAATTTTTGTTTAAAAAATTGCATTGGAAATAAAAAATGACACTTTTGGTGAAACAAAAATAAAACTCTAAAACGATACTAATTTTGAAACGGATGGAGTAATATTTATATATATATAATTTTAAGTTAAATTTATTATGAATTATTGTAATCTATAATGTCAAAAAGATTGAATGAACTGACTTTATTATCGATTTAGACAGTTATAGTTGGAAAACTAATTATGTGCATTTAATGAATAATTTTGCAAGAAAAAATATAAAGAAAACTATTTTTCAATGATATATATATATATATTATAAACTATTTATAAATTTATTATGCTTGTTTGAAATTAGATTTTTTTTTAATAATTTTTTTAAGTATAGTTTTTTATGTTAAATACAATATAGAAAAAAAAATATTTTAGATTTGAATAGGTCATCAAAAATCGTCAGACTGGCACTATCGGTATCCTTGATAAAAAGAATCAAACGTCGAATGTCACAGAAGAAAATACAAACAAGCAAACAAAATGGTGAATACATAGTTTGAATCCCACAGAAAACAAATGCATAGAATGAAGGGATCTAAATTCAATGAATAACAACTAAGGATGTGTTGCTTTCTCGAACTGTATGAGAGAGAGGAAGTTCGAATTGATTTTTTGCTGACATGTATCACCTCTAATATCACAGAATTTTGAAAGAATAAATAAAAAAATAAATAAATCACATATATGGTTAAGCATAACATATGATTAACTCAATAACTTACTTCGATTTATCAATATATGTAACTGTGGATAGATATTATGAACAATAAATCTATCGATAAACATAATTTTTAATATTAAAAAATAAAAAAATCTAAAATTTAGAACTAAATACCTCTTATCTCAAACAGCTAGGATTTTATGCTGATAACATGTTATGAATTAAAAATAAAATAAAAGAAATTGGTGTTGTATAATATTCCAATAGGTATAATCTTCTATCTATTAATTGAGAATGTAGTTTAATAAAAATTGTTGATTTGTTTTAATTTGATTGGTTAATATCTTTAGTTCAAACAATTTTAATGTGACATGGAAATGATGATGTAATTGTGACATGTCAGTTTTTAGTACACATGGCTTGTGACATGGTATTATTTAATTTATAAATAAAATTTGATGTTAAAAATTTGAGAATGTAGTTTAAATACTCAACTTTTTGACAAAAAATTAGGAAAATTATCATTTTGTCAAAAAGATTTAAAATCACATTTCGACACAAAATATTTGTCAGCGAAATTACAGATTTCAAGTATTTAACGAAAAATTTGTAGCAACCGATATAGCCGAAATGTTTTTGATATCATTATTTTTGCTTATTAATAGATTCACAATATTTGGTAAAAAATCATGAAATCAAATGAAAATACTCTGAAATAAATATTTTGGTGGGAAAATTATAATTTCATGTTTTTGCAGAAATTTCTGAAATCGGTTTTTCAGGGAAGTTTTTGGAAATTATATTTTTAAGTAAGTTTTTTGGCAAAAAATTTATGGTTTCACTTATTTAGCGGAAAATTTATGAAATCAAATTTTTACTGGTAGTTTTTGGAATCACTTTTTTAATGTAATTTTTTTGGCGAATTTTTTTTATGGGTTCACTATTTCGAAGGAAATTTACAAAATTGAAATTTTGATAAAATGTCTTTAGATCATATTTTTGATGTAATTATTTTGGTGCGAAAGTTATTTATTCATGTTTTTGGCAGAAAATTTATGAAATCATTTTTTTTGTTGGAGATTTTTGGATTCTTATTTCAAATAACTCTTATGCAAAATATTTACAAGCTCAAGTGTTTGTAAGAAATTTGCGGAATCAGATTTTTTGAAAAAGAATGTATTCACTTTTATTATCGTCTTATCTTGTCCTACTATAAATAAAGAATAAAATTTTATATTATATGTGAATGTATTCTAATTATATAACAAGAATTACGAACCAGAAACGAGACGAAATATGACAGAATGAGATAAAAAAATATAAAATATGTAAAATATGAATAAAAATAGAAAACAAAGAATAAAGAAGAATTATTTTATTTTATTTTACGGTTTGTATTTTAAGTTTTATATATTTTTAGTTTTTTGCTATATACGATTTCTCAAACTTATTAAATCATTTTTTTCACAAACTTAAATTTTATACAAATATATTATTGAACAGATCAATTACTTATTTATTATAAATTATATATTATTATTAATTAAATTAATTAAAATTTTCATGTCCACACACCTAGTATCTTTTATTTATAAATACAAAGAGAAGATTTTATTTGAGTACAAAGTAAAATTTAAATTTAAAATAAATCTAAAATATTTTAAAACATGAGATTATGGATTTATAATAGACATCACATAATATTTTATAATAATATAAATTGTGAAAATTGGTTTTTAGTATATGTATTTCTAAGAAACAAAAAATAGAAAAATAGAATTAATTAATAAATGACAATTATTAAAATAAGTAATGATGTTTGGCAATAAGATTAATAGTTATTAATAATTAATGAATTAATTAAATTAAAATAATTGAAAAGTTAATAGTAATGATACCTAAGCAAAAATAGTTTGCAATATTTCTACTTTCATATTAAATAGATGAGAAGAAACAAGGACGAAAATATTCTTAATAGATGATAAGAAAAAAAAATTAAAATGAAGAGAAACTCATTCTTTTTATTACTTGGTCTAGAAGGTACAATAACGGAAAAATATTTTAAAATTCTAGTTATTTTTGTTCTCCCAAATTCTCAAAGATATTTATTTTCTATTTGGTTCGCATTTCGTAGTTCATAGCAATAAAACCCTGAAAATATTAGATTTTATGCGATTCTATTCCATATTTATTTTATGTATATTGCCAACATCCTTATAAAAAGAAGAGTTTGAAATCGATTTGCTTTTTCGTTATAACAAAAGACGATTTCATAGGAGTCTGCACATAACTTTCCATTTATGTCTCGTATACAACACCAGCTTACATACAAATAATTATATGTGTGTGAATATTAATGATACGTATACACCAGTATTAAAAAGGAAAACAAACATGACTTCAATCAAATACTACAAAAGTATTTCCCAAGTTCGCAGTGGAACTTTTGTTTTCAATTTTAAGAAAATTATTATTCCAAATTAGAAAGACGAGGTGTGTAGATGGAAGCATTAAGTTTCTTTTGATGGTAAATTTCCTTTTGATGAAAAGTTTAGAAATGAGCTAATATATCATTTTTCCCAGTTGACCTGGTTGGATTGATTGATTAATCGCTTATAAATTTTAAATATCTTAAAATTTTGAGAACTTTTTAATGAAATTAAAAATAAATTAAAATTACAGCAAAGCATCCTTATTTATTAGATATTATGATGTCTAAACTTTTTTTTTAAATAAATTAGTAATTGATATTTGAAATGATTAAATACTATATTTGTGGAGAGTCTTTATCTCTAACTACATATCTAATCTGTAAATATTGTATATATTATATTTAATCCTTTTTAATTGAAAATTTTACCATATTTGTCTTCTCGTTATTTTTTTTTAGCATTGTTTTTTTTTTATTGTTTGTATTTGTAAAGGAAGGAATGTGTTAGTAGATCGTTTTGATTAAAAAGGTGGGGGTTTTCTCTTTGTACCTCAACCCCAAAAATGAGATTTTTAAAACTTTGATTTTATTTTTTCGTTTTTTTTGTTCATGTCCTCACCTTAGGAGGAAGATAAATTTTCAGATCCTATTTTGCCTTTTCCATGTTTTTGTTTATAAATTGTTTAAATTTCTGAAGGAAAAAACAGGAATTAATATATTTATTTTTTTGAAACAGTTTGGTAGAATGGATGATCATGGCCAATCAGCCCAATCTTATGGAGGTGGTGGCAATAAACACTCAAAAGGAGAGGAAAAAAAAAAACAAAATCGGGAGATATGTTCCTAAAGACACCACGGTAAGTGTTCTGACACTGACACATTATTAAACCAATTTTATTTGAAAAATAGTATATTAACAAAAGAATTTTGATTGATATTACAGCGTTTGACGAGGTCGGATGAAAACTTTCCTCCGGCAAGTGATACATTATGTATTAGTCTCTTATTATCTAAGTATGTTTTCAGGATGTTGGAAATGACAAGTCTTATAGTAAAGATTTGAGAGAGACTACCAAGGTTCTGACGAGAGTCGGTAACCAAGGAAGACGTGGTATGAAAATACATTTTCCATATATACTTCAACTTCTTTAATTCAACATATATATGTAGGCCGTTTTAAAGGATGTTCAACATAAGTTTTTTCTTATGGGTTGGGCTATTTTCTATTCGGCCCAATGGCCCAGCCGATTAAGTGTATAATTATATATGATTTTAAATTGTTGAACAAACCCAAACTATTGGCCCCTAATACAGTTTTGCATTTTATTTTTATTTGTCGAGATACATGTTGGGTCCATTCATCGACGAAATGCCTAGAGGCCGTGGTAGAAATTAAATTCAGTTTGAATGTTTCACTATCTGAGACACACCTCTACCATGGCATTACGAAAAAAATGGGCAAAAAATGGTCAAAAATTTCGAAGAAATAAGGACTTTTCTGAAAAACGAAGGAATAGTCTTAGAAAAAGACTGAGTGTGATAAGAAGACAGATAAAAAAAGATCCATGTCCTAAAAAGATCAAGGTACTATTATTATTTGTTATATTTGACTTAATTATTATTTGTGCTATCAGTAGAATGCTGTACCTGCGCTGAAATTCGATGATTTAGTTACAACAAAAAAGTCAACGAAAAAGCACTAATTCAACTAGTGAAAGCTGGGCCTATTATAGTGAACATAGAGATAACAGAGGAATTAAGAAATCTTAAAGGAAAGGTGAAATATATATTCAATCGTTATATTTTTAGATTTTATTTTAAAAAAATATATAATTCAATGGTTTTTAGTTATAATATTCTATTCTAATTTAGGCATTTGTGTTTGTAAATTTCAGAAAGTTTATTTTGGACCTAAAAAATCTACAAAAGCTGTTGGTGACCAATTGGTTCGGTTATGGAACCATAAATGGAATTCACTACTGGATAATACTTAATTTATGGGGTATTACATGGGGAGAAGAAGGATATGCCAAATTGGCTCGGACGGCTAGCCGTGATCATGATCATAATCGTTTTCTGTTCTTCGAAGTTGCCTATCCTGTTATATGTTTACGAAACTAGTTATTTGTTCAATAATTTTATTTGAATAAGTTAATTATCCAATATTTATGGGTTTTGTAATAGGTTTCTGCCGTTGAATAAGAAACTTGTTTAACTCTTACAAGTTAGACTAGATATCTGCCATCTGGTGTGAAAGAACCAACTTTAATTTGATAATTAAATAAGAAACATGATATTAGTATAGTTTCTTTCTCTTTATTTAGTTCGAAAATAGTACAACAACTCTTGACTTTTTCAGGACAGTCAAATATTTATAGTACTGGAAAAATAAATTTGTAATGATGTTCGTCTAGGCACAAAAAGTATAGAATTATGATAACATCAAACCCGAGAAGATTGTAGCGATTTAATCTCCGTTCTTAACACGTGGTTCTTTGATTCTTTTCATACCACTTTTCAATAGATTTAGTTTTCGTTTTTGTTGTGGGCCTAAATACTGAGATGTAACCCTGCTCCCCCCAATTTGGGTTTGCTTTTACGCAAAAAACGAAAAAATATCATGCATTTTTAAGTTTAAACCCCCTCCCGAAAGGAGCAAATCCATGAAATAAATAGTACTGTTACATAATCTCTGAATCATAACGAAAGAAACGGTTCCAAGACGATAGTCGACCCCCTTACCGAAATAATACTCTTTCACCCTAGTTTATTAATATTGAACCCTGGTAAAAACCAAATCAAACCAAAAACAGCAAAACTAATTCAAATGTGTAACGTTAAATAGAACTTAGAAATTGAAAAGACGGCGCTTATCACAAGAGAGAGCAATCAAAGTTGTTCTAAACTCAGATATAATTTGCAAAGACGCAAGTTTTAAACACGAGAACAATTAAACAGAATACATAACACAAGCTTCTTCTCCAGAACAATAGAGCAAATCAACAAACTGAAATGAAGCTTTCATGATTTCTCCTAATTCCAACTGAAATGTACCTTCTTGACCAGGTTTCAGCCTGCAGAAGCAGTGTTCGATCTCCCTACAAAACACATTGCGAACCTTAGCTTGAAAGATCTTTGTCTGGTTACGGTCCTTGGCAACAAATGTGATGAAGTAGATCTCTCCGCTAAACTTGAAAATATTTGCTTTCTCAACCTCAACAAATTCAAAGCTCGTACCCTTTCAAATCAAAACAAAAAACTTGTGTCTTTACGATCTGATCGTTGATGAGACCATACTCCACATTGATACGAGCATTCTCCTCCTGTAATGTGGGTTTGTGACGAGTTTCCTCTTTCCCTCGAATCCGAGCCAACAGAGGCTTCACATACTCAAGCTCGTTTCCAGGGAGATACAAAGTACAGGCGCTGACACATCGTGGATCAAAAGGATCAGTAATGATTTCGTAATCGCTTTCACTTGATGAACCCATCAGAAACCCTAATTCTAAATGAGAATTTTGGGGAAGAAAGCCGAAACCGTTTTCTCTGCAACTCTCTGAAGCTTCACATTTTTTGTTTTTTTTTTGTTTGTATATTATACCATCTATAGAACAAGCCCAACATAAATTCAATAAGCCCAATATAAATTCAATAAGCCTTACGAAGTTAAATTGTTAGCAAGCCCAATATATATTCTTGATGATTTCATTTTTTTTTAATACAAATAAAATTCCATTGATCTTGGTGAATAATCTATAGCTTTTATCTTATTTGCACAATAAAGCTCTTTAATGGGCTACTTCTATTTCTATGTTCGTCTTCTATATCTTGTTAAGCTTTTAAAGAGCTAGAACAAACTTACTTTTGTTTTTTATGATGATATTTGATATTCACATTACAAATTTGCCTTTTTGTGTGACATTTATTTGATGTGAATTACTTAATAATTTTTTTTTGCATCTTTCAAGCCTTTAACACATAAAACTAATTCATTGTAGATGACATCATGACGTGAGACGTAATTATATTTTCCATTATGAGATTGCTAAATTAAACGTGTAGCAAACCAGGTCGTGCAAAGGAATGGTTTTGAGATTGATCAATATCGTACGATAAAAAGTATTGACATATACAGTCGAAATTCTATAAATTAATAATATTGAGACTTTTGATATTTTATTAATTTATAAAGTTATTAATTTATTAGTTTTGGATAAAATAAATTGTTTATTAATAATTAATTAAAAATAATATTTTTAAAATTTATAATATTTTTCAAAATTTTTATAATAAAAATAAAGATAAATGATAAAAATGCTACAATTTTAATATGAAAAACAATAATATACTTATATTATAATAGATTATCATAGTTATATAAAATTATTTTAGATGATATTTGTTAATTTATGATATCAATGAGACTATATTTTATATAAGTTTTCAAAAAAATTATTATTTTATTAATTTTTCAGTTTGTATTAAATTTTGAACCGGTCCAACTAAGAACTAAACAAAATTATTAATTTATCGAGTTTATTAATTTATCGAATATTAATTTATAGAATTTCTACAATATATCATATGTTCAAACTAAATGTCTTGTCCCTCCCCTTGTCATGCCATCATTGTTTATTTTGATTATAAAAACAAAAGATTAATCTTAGGTCACAGAATGGCAATATAAACGAAGAGCAAGAAACGTCCCGACCAAAAAAAAATAAACGAAGAGCAACAAACGACACAGAAATCATCATCATAATGAATTGGAGCGCGAGGTTCCATTTCAGTTATCATATTGAGTTATAATAACTAATAAAGTTCAAGAGACCAAGATAACTTGATCCTATTTGTTTGAGATTTAGTTGCATTTATGTATGAATAATTTCGAGCTAGTCAAAGCACGGTCTGATTCAATTACTACGTGTAGTAGAAATCGGCATTTTATAGTTTCGGCCAATTCAAAGTAAGAGACGGCAGTAACTATAAGGAGATTCAAATTCTAGAACTTGGGGGTAAATGCCGAAACCAAATAACTAATATATCTTGGTTATCATTTAATAGTTTGTAGCACTAAAATCCCAAAATATCAGATTTTATGCGATTCTACATAATTATTACTTGTATTCTCAAGCCTCAATAACCCATAAAATAAAAGAAAGTTTTAAATCAAGGGACATTTCATAGAAATATTTACAGAATTTTCCGTTCAATAATTAACGGTTATGTGATAAGTATGCGTAACTAAACATGTGTGTATATGTTTTTTTTTTGTTTTTTTAAAGGGAAACATGCATGAATTAAAATATTACATAATTGTTTCTGTAGATCGTACGTAACAAAAGAATTACCGTTAATTATTGGTTCAAAGTTAGTGGTTCAAAGTTCTAATCTTCTAACAACAGAGACCAAAAGACAATAGTAGCAGTAGCATCCTCTTAACCGAAATAAGATAAGAGACTTTACTGACTCCTTCACCCTAATATTGAACCCTGATAAAAACCAAATGAAACCAAAAACAGCAAATTACCAAACTAATTCAAATGTGTAACATGAAATAGAACTTAGAATTGAAAAGAAGACTCTTATCACAATGAACATATAATAGATACCTTGGTTTCTTAGCAACTCCCTTAGAATCTTCATCATATTCTACTGCAAAAACAAAAGTTGAATTACATTCTTCATAACAAGAGAGCAATCAAAGTTGTTCTAAACTCAGATATAACTTGCGTAACACACAAGTATCTTCCGCATAACACGAGAACAATTAATCAGAATGTTTGAATTTGCAAAGACATTTAAATTAATAAAATTCGAACTAATTCCAACTGAAATGTACCTTCTTGACCTGGTTTCAGCCTGCAGAAGCAGTGTTCGATCTCCCTACAAAACACATTGCGAACCTTAGCTTGAAAGATCTTTGTCTGGTTATTGTCCTTGGCAACAAATGTGATGAAGTAGATCTCTCCGCTGTTCAAGTAAATATTTGCTTTCTCCACTTTCACAAACTCAAAAATCGTGTCCTACAATCAAAACCCCAAACAAAAAAAACGCAAACCAGATCAATTAAGTAACAAAAGTGTGACTGAATCGAATCAGCAAGAATTTGTTGTCACCTTTCTTTTGTTGTAATCCTCAATGGCTTCCTTGGCCAATCTACCGAAAAACTCCCCATCGGTTTCTGGTTCTTCGGCTACCTCGCTGTCATCGAGAAACGCAGGTCGGAAATCGAATAGGTACCGAAGCTCGGAGAAATCGACATCAAAGCCCTTTAAAAATCAAGAGAGACCCAAAAACTTAGAAATCAAGTATGGACACAGAGAAAGAAAATGGAAGAGAGAGAGAGAGAGAGAGAGAGAGAGAGAGAGAGAGAGAGAGAGAGAGAGAGAGAGAGAGAGAGAGAGAGAGAGAGAGAGAGAGAGAGAGAGAGAGAGAGAGAGAGAGAGAGACCTGTGACTTTACGATCTGATCGTTGATGAGATCATACTCCTGCTGTAGTGTGCGGTTGTGAGGCAAGTTTTCCTCTTTCCCTCGGATCCGCTCCAGCTGAGCATTCAACCGAAGCTTCACATCCTCGCGCTCAGTTCCAGGGTAAAACGAAACGCAGGCGCTGACACATCTTGGATCAAACGGATCAGTAATGATTTCGTAATCGCTTTCACCTGATGAACCCATCAGAAACCGTAATTCTAAATTTGGGGAAGAAAGCTCAAACCTTTTCTCTGTAATCCTTTGAAAAACATTTTGTTTTTGTTTTTTCTTTGGTCTAATATCTATATAGATATGGAACAAGGCCAGCATAAATTCAATAAGCCTAGCAAACCCAACAGAAATTCAATAAGCCCATCAAGCTCAACATAAATCTAAGGAGCCTTGCAAGCTCATACATCAACACAACAATAACACAAGTGTCTCTCCGTAACTTGACACATCAGCATTTTCAAGTTCTTAGGAGATGACACTTTAGAAAAAAAAAACATCAATAAAAACATTTCATTAATACAAGTCATCAATTTATTTTAACTTTTAAATTTAAACCCATTAAAAACCTAAATATTTTTTATTGTTAATTTTAGTTTTATCTTTTGGCCAAGCCCAAGTCCAAATAATAAATAACAGCAAAAAAAATTATTTTGTTTTTTTTGCCAAACCCAAATCTAAATAATAAATAACAACAAATAAAAAATCAAATCTTTGTTTTATATTTTTGCCAAACCAAAACTCAAATAATAAATAACAGCAAAAAAAAATTAAAATTTCTAACTATGTGTTTGCTTGATAGAGACGTATATAATTGAAGAAAGTATAGACTCATCATCAACTATGTTTTCATAACAATGCAAAAAGCGTTATGTTATAAGAAGCTCACACATCAGCAAAAATTTGAACCAATAAAAACATAACAATAATACATATTATTAACACACTAATAAAATCAGTTTACTATTTTGCTAACCCATTAAAAAGCTCAAAGTTTACAAAAAAATAGATGTCAAAAATAAAAGAGGAGAAACTCAGACCACCACAGCTTGGAGATTCGCATTTCCATTGGTTAACGAGAATAAATTTTCTTGGGTTCGGTGGGAATAGAGAATTTTCTGGTTTTGGTAGACAAATGTGATTTTCAGTTTTGGTAGGAAAACTTAATTTCTCGTTATGGCGGAAAAAACGAATTCTCGGGTTTGGCGGAAAAATGTGAATTTTTGGTTTTGATGAGAAAAAAAAATAATTTTGACGAGAAAATGCGAGGGAAATGCAACTTTTCAATTTTGACAAAAAAATACGATTTATCGGTTTTAATAGAAAATGCAATTTTTCGGCTTCTGATGGATAATGTAATTTCTTGATTTTCACGAGAAATTTTGATTTCTTAGTTTTCGCGGAAAATTATAATTTGACAATTTTGGCAGAAAATGCAATTTTTCGGGTTACTAGGAAAACAAAATTTCTCGATTTTGGCAGGAATAAACAATTTCTTGGTTTTGATGGGAAATGCAAATTTTTCAGTTTTTGACATATAATGTGATTTTTTGGTTTTCGAGGGAAAATTTGATTTTTTAGTTTTCGCGGGAAATAAATAACAATTTGCTTTATATAATTTCAAAGGAGGATCAAATGGTAATTTAGTAGAAAAAATAGATTACATTTGCCATTAGCATGAAGATACTTAAAAATGTATTGTTTTATTCTTACATATACATTTATAGATAGTTAGCTAAACAAATTTGATAATAGATTATAATTTTAAAAAATAAAAAAAATTAAGGATATATAATGTTTATTCAGATTTAAAACATATAAATACATAACTTAAGCTAATAAAAAATAAATATAATAATTATTTATATTATAAAAATAATTTTATTATATTGAAAATATATACAAAATCTAAAGAAATATCCCGCAGCGTAGCGCAGGTAAATACCTAGTATATTCAATAAGCCTAGCAAGCCTAACATAAAATTCAGCATATGTTTCCGTCTTATATTTTTGCTTTTCTTACCAAATGTTTCAAAATAATTCAAAATTAAAAAATGATGTGAAATGAGGCCTAAACCGTTGATTTTTTAAATACCAACTAATGACAAATTGAATGCAGATTACTGTCATATTAATTGATTTTACAATTAAACGTAGATTATTTGTAGATTAATGATAGACTAAATATAATTTACTGACAGACTAATATCGGATTAAAAACACACTAATGTATATTTCTTATGGATCATTTTAGAAAGCGACATATTTCGTAATAAAATTGTCAAATAGGTGTAGGTCATTAAATTTTTTTATCTCTTTTTATAATTTTTTATTGTGTTTTTATTGATTTCGAAATTTTGTTTTTTTTTTATTTGAAAAATTGTGTTCCTCTTAACCGAGATAAGATTTGAGGCTTTACTCACTCCTTCACCCTAGTTTATTAATATTGAAACCTGGTAAAAACAAAATATTACCAGGGTTGTTGTCATACAAAAATATTAGTATACTGAAAGTGAGCGGAGACGAGACGAGGTGTGGAGGAATTCTATAGAGGCCTAAACCGTTGCTTTCGACAAGACTGATCCAGGAACTGTGCATAAGTGATAAGACTAACTTGTATGGTTCCAACTTATCTTTTACACATGCAGAATCATAAGTTACAGACTTACAGTCTCTCTCCTGTTTCACACACGTCATCAAAAGATCACATGCCATTTAAATCATGGCCTGTTTGACAACAATGTAAACGAGATACATCCGCACTCTTCTCTCTAAGGGAAAGAAACTATATATCAAGGATCAAGACCAGCTCTTGTTCGATGGAATATAAAAACAAAACACAACACATTCAATATCATACACGACTATCATTCTCTGTGCAACTGATGCATGTCTTTTCCTTCCCTTGTCACAAACCATTGCTGTTCATTTTGATTAGAATACGTACTCAACATATATAGGTCAGAGAAAGAAGCAATACTATTGTCATTATATTTGGGAGAGGGAGGTTCCACATCAACAGAGCAATCTCTGCACCACATATAAACACACAGCTAATTAACATCGGAATAGCTACCACACACGTGTTGTTCCCTGAATAAATATAATTTTTTAGGGTTAAAAGCGCGCGAATTAATAAGTGATGATTCAAAACTACATAGAAAGGAATACTGAAAGTATCTTCGTTGGGTTTCCCGATGGCAAAGAGTGTCATCTCGCGGATCACTTGGGCATCGCTTCTTGCATCGTTAACGCGTTGTGGTGAACTATCTAACGATCTCGTGTTGAACACGTAATCAAATTGCTCCCAGTCAATCGTGATACCCTAATTAAGGAAACAGATTCCAAAACTTGATATCAGATTCAGAGCTGGAATCAACCCTAACTTTTCAAGGACAGAAGAATGCTAGAGATTGGTCTATTCAAAGAAACTACTTTCTTCTTAAACAAGTTATCATATTGCTTCTCCCGTTTTAATGGATGGAGTTTTTTTTTTGGTCCCTTCACTCTTACACTCCTACAAAACTGTTGGAGAATTCTGGATTGTAATTAAGTTGGTTGTTGTCGATCATACAAAAATATTAGTATGCTGAAAGTGACCGGAGACGAGGCGTGGAGGAATTCTATAGAGGCCTAACTAAACCGTTGATTTCGTTAAGCTAAACCGAACTAATATGAACAAGACTGATCCCGGAACTGTGATTTTTGAAGATCTAGCAGATCAAACAGAGATGACGTCTTTAGTTTCTTATGCACAATGTCACCCACGAGGCGCCATACGATGGTTGCAACTTATCTTTTACACATGCAGCAGAATCAAAAGTTGCAGTTTCTCTCCTGTTTCACACACGTCATCAAAAGATCACACTCGTCTCTTGAGCCAAACACATCACACATTCTCTTTCTCTCTTAGAAAAAACCTAACTTTATCTCTTTTATGCATTTCACTCCTTAGGAGTTAGGACCTAATGATAACCCGTTCATGATTGCTTACGATGATTTGAAATAGATATTGTACCCTTCACCACAGGATGTTAAGAAAATTCACATTTGAAGCATGATTTTGCGCATCCAGACCATACCATAAAAAGGATTTCCATTTTAGGATCGCAGCCACTTGATAAACAATGGGTAAGTGACAAAATCTACGGACAAAACTAATGGGCTATTAATTTGAGCCTTGGGTTACAAACTTCATCATAAGCCCATATTACACCCATCATACAGTTTGTAACCAAGCTCACCACGCCAGGGTCTCAAATCGCGTTAAACTGTCTCCTTCCATTTTCCCCGATACGCTGCTTTAGGGGGTTCCGATCATGGCCGGTTCTGTTTCTACGGAGGACGCGGGTTCTCGCCCAGTGAAGACGCCTAAGGTAGACGAAAAAGCCATCGTTGAATCGAAACCACCTTCCACATTCGACAGACTCCTGATGATTGGGGAGCCTGAAAAGGATGAATATGTACGACAGTATCTCTTGTTTCGCTGTCAATACTATCAAACAAGGGTAAGATCTTGTCTCCCTTTTCTCTAAATTAGGGTTAATTGTCTGTGCTGATTTGTCCCTGGAATTGTCACTAAATTAGGGTTCATTGTTCAGGGTTTCGGGATTGAGTGGGAGAAATTTGATTACCATTTCAGTCTTTGTTACCCTTACGATGGAGCACCGCCAAACTTTATGAATCAGAGCAATGAGGAAAGGATCAAGGAGGTGACGCAACTTGCCATTGACAAATACAATCAAGATAATGTCAGTGCTCTGCTCTAAATTCGATTTTGTTTGATTGATTCTAAAGGTCTTTGGAGTTTAATAACTTGGGTCTTGTATCCACTTGGTATATTGTTCAGGGAACAAACATCGTGTTCGTTGAGCACGTCTCGGCAAATTACCGGTGTTATGGTTATTTTGCGCACTGGGTCACGTTCTGGGGTAGAGACATGTCTTCCCCTTGTCCTGTGTCGAAACTCTATCAAGCTAAAATATTACATCGTCGTCATTCCTATCAGTTTCCCATTTTCAGGGTCAAACCGACAGACGAAGGTCACTTCGCTCCTAGTTTATTACACAATGCTGATTTTGCTGTTTCTATTTGGGTGTATGTATGATGCTAAGTTGCTTCTTGATGTGCATTTATATATGTGATACAGAGATGATGGCGGCTCCTATTCGCGTGAAAACTCCACTTCCTTGGCATCTTGAGATAGGTGCTCTCTTTAATACAAGCTTTAAGGTGTTGTAATCAAGAGTAGAATCTGAAAAGAGTGAAGTAGAGAGGAGCAATACATTAGAATACATATTAGATTGATGCTATGCCACAGAACCTGATATTGTTTGGTTGTTTCTTGGTAATAATAATAATGCAGATGAACCACCTGTTGTCTTCCGCCGAGCTCGTCCTGGAGAGGATCCCGTGCCTGGAACCCCGTTTGTATACTCTCGAGATGGCGGGGAATATGAGGAGTCTGATACTGAGTCAGATGAAGATGAATGGATATACTAGCTGCATCAACAACAATATGATCAATTAAGTAAAATGACTCAAGCTGTTCAGTGCCAAACTTGTTTAAATTGACTCCAGATTTATATCTAAAAAGTTATTGATTATGTGGAGATGATCATTCTTCTTGGTTCTCAGAAACTACAATTTTCACTGCCAAACTTGTTTGGTTTTGTCATTGTGGTGTGCAGCAAAATGGTCTAAGCTGCAACATAATTATGTCTTTGATAACTGTAAGCAAAAATTTACAACAAACAAAATTATTATTAATCGATCTAGTGACACACAAAAAAAATCGGTTTTTTCTTTCTTTCACGAGTTGTGAATTAAGAGAGATTACTTGTGAGCTTGTGAACACAAATGTAGCTTTGAGACCAATCAAGTTAAATATTAAAATCATGTTTATCTTAAACTTTTACGTAACCAAGCTTGAAAACAGAAAGTAAGTCAAATACTAGAATGCCTTAAAACATTAATTATAAAAAAGGGAACCACTTGTTCTTCAAGCTCCATCACGTCTCGGATAATGAACTTCGGTGAATAGTGAACGTATATTTCCTTTGGTCTGGCGGTACACGTATCCAAATCCTCCTTCCTTCGAATCTTTAATCTTCACCCCAAGAGTTCTGAATAATCCAATAGGGTCTTCCTTCGTGATCTCCATATCCAACAATAAGAACCGCGTGGAACCCGTTGTGATGAGTACGTAGGTTTGGTGATGTATCATAAATTCTCTAAAAAAATGAAAAAAAAAATCATTATAAACATTAAGTTACATATATATATATATAACCTTTATATATAATGGTACTTACAACATTGGGATTTTTGCCATAATCCACTAATTCTGTAGTTAGTGGTAGCATAGCAACCACCGGTTGTCGCCGAACAATGTCTTGAAGCATAACATCGTCAACATCCGTGACAGTTGTATAGCCATCAATGTCGTAGAAATGCACCTACAAATTAAATTATGTTTCATAATGTCAATAGATTGATGTTTGGATAGAACACATAAAAAACTGAGCATATAATTAGATTCTACCTCTTTCCCATGACGACAATTTGACTTAAGAACTTCGTTCCTTTTTTGTTGTTTACACTGACTTGTTGTGCAAATTCCCTTTTTTTGAACATAGGCAAAAGCTTTCTTGGTGTTTCCAATTCCATCATTCATATCATAGTTAACATTATTAACCATATGTTGGACTGATAGAGAACGATGGTTGCGTTGGTTACCCAAACCGATGTTGTAGAGGGCTTCCACCGATCTCACCACAGAACAAGCCCAACAAGTAGCTACATGTTAATTAATAATTAGTATATTTACATGATCAATATTTTTTACACTTCAACAAGCTTCTAAACTAATCAAAAACATTTGCATGTGAAACATAATTTAGTGTCCAAAAGTGTTATAAACTTCAATTTTGCTTTTTGAAGTTTCTATATTTAACATGTAATTCTTTATTTCTAAAATACTGTCCCAGCTATCCTTTTAAAATGTCCAATTTTTTTACGACTTGTTGATTTTAAGTTATGGATTTTAAAAATTGAGATATTGTAAACAATTTGTAGATTTAGAACATGATTTAAGTTATATGATTATATCATAGAATACCTTGTTTTCCTTGATTTAATGTCGGTCCGATGATACCATCCACGGTTCTCCAATCCCAAGAATGAACCTCCTAGTGTTAGAAATATAACAGAATAAGAAATAAATAAAAACACTGTATTATGGACTATATAACTGGAAAACTAGATAATTGAGAAATTCTTAATAGTCATACAGGTGTAATGACTTTTCCATAGTCCGACTGAGTCACTTTCGGATGTTTAGATGCATAACTACTACTTTCTCCTTTTGCCAACTGTTGAAATTACAAATACGAATTACGAACTATTGTATATTTTATTGTTCCTTTCAAATTACATTTTTAACAGAAACTAACTAAAAAAAATTATGATTTAATAAATTACAGTGAGTTTTGAATTTTTTGATGGAGGAGGATCGTCGTCGACCTTTTTTTTCTTGCCCTTATCTTTGAACATACCTTATAAAAAGCAAAAATAAAGAGAGATTAGTTTTCGATCAAGCTCTAACCCCCAAGAAAGAAATTAAAAGCTCTATTATAACCTTAATCAAACATTGTAAAAACCCAAAAAATCTACAAAAAAAAAATAGCCAACCGTCTTGATTGAAAACATTTCCTGATAGCTAGAATTAAAGATAGATAGATATAATAAACATTATCCCAAGGTTTAAGACTCAACCCAAAAACAACAGACACCAAAGATCTAAGACCATAATTAATGCGAACAGGAAAAATGAGGGAAAGCTTTGTTTTCTATTACAAATAAGAAGTTTGTTATGAAGACTTGGAACATTGTATCTAAGAACATATATATAAACTAAAATACAGTAATACAGTAATAGTAATGTATATCTTTAAGAAAAAAGCTTCTTATAAAGATTAGAAAGAAACCAACATAAACAAAGATGCAGCACTGAAAAGTACCCCCCAAAAAAACCTAAAATGAAGAAAGTTTTTAAAAAAAAAAACCTAAAGACGAAGATCAAGTGTTTATCAAACAATCGCCAATGAAGAGGGGAAAAAAAAGCTTTTATAAGAGGATGCGAGAGATGTTTCTGCTGTTTGAAGGAGAATGGGAGAGAGACGGTATATATATATACATCATAGAGACAGCGCATGACTCTCTTTGTGAAATGTGATGGTAAATAAGTCAGTCTACATCGTACTATTTTCTAAATGTTCCGTATTTTTAAATAAAAATAAAACCAAAATAACCCCAAAGTTTCAGTTTGGTAAATTTAGTGTAGTCTAAAAATGAACGTAACACCTTCACGGACGAAAAAATGTAGAACACACGGAAACAAGTGTCAATTTAAAGTAATAATTGAGAATTGAATCCGAATTAGTGTCTATTTTTTTCAACAAATTCAACCGTGGGACTAAAGTATAGGAACCATACAATATGTATAAGAAGTGAAATGAAACTTATTTACGTGTTATGTAATATTATTGCTTTGTTTTTTTATTTTTAGAAAACATTAGTAAAATTATATTTTATATATATTCAATCTACGGTATCTCTACATATGTCACACCAGTATTGTCAGCCATGCAGATTATAATATAACGATACTTTGATCTTTTACTTCTTAACATCATCTAAATTGTTCACAGTTGAGATTTTTTTGGGGGTCACAATGAGTTAAGACTTAATAAATAATTTTACACGTACATTTCTATTTCTCAAAATGGGATGTTTCAGAAATTTATTTTTATTTATTTACACAAGGGAGCCAATATTTATCAATCAAATCACCTAACCTACATACCAGATTTGGATAGAAACTGACTATTAGTCTTGCACTGCAAAATTCAATTTGTTTTTCATTTTCGGTAGCTAATTATGCTGACTACAACACAATAAATTGCCATTTAATATATTTTAGAATTTTATTTTTGAAACTTATATGAGTTTGTATATCATTAAACCTACAAATATATGTTTTCCATCTCTAATTAATGAAATATAAGATTAGTCAATCGATAAGAATTCTAATTAAGTACAACTATTTAAATCATTTAACCTTCATATACCTAATATGGATAAAATTGATTATAATTCTTATACCACTGCAAACTTCATCCTCTCTCTTTTGGTACGCTAATTATGCTGAATAATACAACACGAAGAAATTCCCAATTTAATTTTGTGCAGGTTTTATTAAGTAAATCAATTAATGTAAAATATGGAATAGCTAGAGCGAGCATATATGGAACAACGCGTTTTCATCTTTTGATTGATCAAGAACCCGTTTATTCTTAATGCAACCATTTTCATTCATTTTCCTCTGATTTGGTAACAGCTTCAGACACCATCTCGACTGAAAACAAAAGGGGGTTCCTGGTGGTTGGCACTGGATCATCTCCAGAACCAAAGTGGTCAAAAGGTTTTCGTTCTGATCAAAGTCTTAATTAGTACCAAACTCTAATAGAGTTTGCTTGTTAATGCAAATCAGATACATAGTAAATATATATAAATATATTTTTGTTAGAGGGCAGAATATAACTAAAACAAGGCTACAAATGGAGGTAATTAGAATACTTATCTTTGCCTTCTTTCATTTTCTATAAATAATATATTTATCACTTGAACATAAATTAGGCTATGTAAATGTGTGATTTGATCATTCATAAGGTGTTGAAAGAAAGAAAAAAAAATGTATAATCTAAACGTATACAGACGTGGGGTTTTGATTGTACCAGATATTCCAAACCATCTAAATCTTCATCAATTCTCACTTCTTACACCTAAAAGTTCTTCAAACATATTCACAACAGAACTGCGTTCACTCACGTACGGCAGTCTTCGAGCTAATATAGTTTCGGATAAGTCTCACTTGAATTGCTCCAGGATAATAGTTTGATGTTCTAGCTCTCCTTACAAATTTGCATTCTTGTGTCGTATAAATCACCAGTCTACATACAATAATTAACGGAAATTAATGTGATAGTATGTGTAACTAAACATGTGTGTATATGTGCCTTTTTTTATATAAAATAGAAAGGGAAGCATACATGAATTAAAATATTACATAATTGTTTCTCTACATCGTAACAAAAGAATTGTTTAAAGTTCTATACTTCTAACAACATAGACCAGAAGACAATGGCAGCAGTAACATCCTTTTAACTGAAATAAGATAAGAGACTTTACTGACTCCTTCACCCCTAGTTTAATATTGAACCCTGGTAAAAACCAAATGAAACCAAAACAGCAAATCAGCAAAACTAATACAAATGTGTAACATGAAATAGAACTTAGAAATTGAAAAGAAGACTCTTATCACTATGAAGATATAATAGATACCTTGGTTTCTTCGCAACTTCCTTCGAATCTTCATCATATTCTACTGCAAAAACAAAAGTTGAATTACATCCTTCATAACAAAAGAGCAATGAAAGTTGTTCCAAACTCAGATATAACTTGCGTAACACACAAGTTTTAAACACGCAAGTATCTCCCGCAGAACAATATAATCAGAATGTTTAAATTTGCAAAGACATAAACACAAGCTTCTTCTACAGAAAAAAGAGCTACTAAAACATACTTAAATGAAGCTTTCATGATTTTTAATCAAAATCGAACTAATTCCAAGAAATGTACCTTCTTGACCTGGTTTCAGCCTGCAGAAGCTGTGGTCAATCTTGCTACAAAAAATATTGCGAACCTTAGCTTGAAAGATCTTTGTCTGGTTATGGTCCTTGGCAACAAATGTGATGAAGTAGATCTCTCCGCTATTCATGTAAATATTCGCTTTCTCAACCTCAACAAATTCAAAACTCGTACCCTTCGAATAAAAAAAAAAAAAAAAAAAAAACAAACCAGATCAATTTCACAATATAACAAAAGAGTGACTGAATCGAAACAGCAAGAGTTTGTTGTCACCTCTCTTTTGTTGTAATCCTCAATGGCTTCCTTAGCCAATCTACCGAAAAACTCCCCATCGGTTTCTGGTTCTTCGGCTACCTCGCTGTCATCGAGAAACGCAGGTCGGAAATCGAATAGGTACCGAAGCTCGGAGAAATCGACATCAAAGCCCTTTAAAAATTAAGAGAGACCCAAAAACTTAGAAATCAAGTATGGAAACAGAGAAAGAAAATGGAGAGAGAGAGAGAGAGAGAGAGAGAGAGAGAGAGAGAGAGAGAGAGAGAGAGAGAGAGAGAGAGAGAGAGAGAGACCTGTGACTTTACGATCTGATCGTTGATGAGATCATACTCCTGCTGTAGTGTGCGGTTGTGAGGCAAGTTTTCCTCTTTCCCTCGGATCCGCTCCAGCTGAGCATTCAACCGAAGCTTCACATCCTCGCGCTCAGTTCCAGGGTAAAACGAAACGCAGGCGCTGACACATCTTGGATCAAACGGATCAGTAATGATTTCGTAATCGCTTTCACCTGATGAACCCATCAGAAACCCTAATTCTAAATTTGGGGAAGAAAGCTCAAACCTTTTCTCTGTAATCCTTTGAAACTTCACACATTTATCTATGGAACAAGCCCAACATATAACCAATAAGCCCAACATAATTTCAATAAGCCTAACGAAGTTAAAGTGTTAGCAAGCCCAACATATCTTGATGATGGTAACTTTGAGACCATTGTAACGAAGTATATACTTATACATGATGAAGGAAGGATCCAAACACTGATCTGATCTTAGCTTCGTTGTGTTTCTCGATGGCAAAGAGTGTCATCTCGCGGATCATTTGGGCGTCGCTTTTTGTATCGCTAACACGTTATGGTGAATTATACTAACGGTCCCGTGCTAAACACGTAATCAAATTGCTCCCAATCAATCGTGAAACCCTGATTAAGCAAACAGAGTTCGATTCAAGGACAGAAGAATGCTAGAGACTGATCTATTCAAACAACTCCTTCTTTCTAAACAAAGTTATCATATTGCTCCCCCGGATTACACAAACAGAATCCGAAATCTCATATCAGATTGCGAAATGAATCTAAACAACTAATCATATTACTTCCCCGGATTAAGTATCAGTCTTGTAGGATTGTATAATTTTCTGTAATATAAAAAGACAGAGCTCCGTATACACAGAAATTTTCTCGGTTGCTTCTCTGTTTTCACATTCTTGGATGGAGTTTTTTTGGTCCCCTCACACTTACACTCCTAAACAAACTGTTGGAGAATTTTGGATCGTAATCAAATTGATTGTTGCCATTCAAAAATATTAGTATGCTGAAAGTGAGCGGAGATGAGGCGTGGTGTGGACGAATTCTATAGAGGCCTAAACCGTTGATTTCGACAAGACTAACTTGTATGGTACGTGGTTTTTGAAGGTAAACAGAGATGACTTGTTTTGTCTCCTCTGCACAATGTCAAACAGTTTCTTCTGCACAACTGCTAGATTTTATCAATCCTAAACTCTTGTAAACTGAATTGGAGAACTGAGATTGAAGAACAAGATAGTGTTTATTGAATCAAACACAAGAATCCAGAGAAGTAGAGAGTTTATTTCGATCACATATGATCTCAATCACTGACCACATCGATCAGTCAAACCGCACATCGCAGATTCTGTTTACAACATGATTCTCTCGATAATCAATGAATGAAATCCCAAAGTCTGATTTATTACTCCTCTCGTAGCTTTCACTCTTTACCAACTAAACCTACAGCTCAGCATTGACTTTGCTTTCTCATCACTCGAGTCCTTCTTCTCCCTCCGAAAGTAAGTCTGGCGGAGTCTATCAACAACATCATACACGATGGTTACAGTTTCTTCTGCACAACATCACCCACGAGGCATGTCATACGATGGTTGCAACTTATCTTTTACACATGCAGAACCTTAAACTTCTACCGAATTTCTCATTGTAACAAATATATAAAAAGACCTTAATTACAATCAAATTTAAACTAGTATTGATTTGCAGATGAATTCAAACCGTCTGAAACAGCAGCTGTTGCATAGGATTCACAAACGAAGGTAAACCGTAAACATTATCTTGTGAGGCATCGTAAAAGGGCATCAACATACAGTAGTTGGAAGTATTTAATGGTTTGGCTGGATCAGTTGTATTGCAAGTTTTGTCACTTTATCTTTTTTTTTTAAAAAATATCTTCCGTCTACATATTAGACCAAGTTCACTAAAAACAAAAACCTACAATAACAAACACCATCATCATATATAGAACTAAACTAACAAAAAAAAAAATTGAAAACATAATTTTTCTTCTTTTTCTTTTCTTTTCTATTAAATCGATAACCATTCTTTTTCGATAGACAAGAAGTTAATGTACATACTCGACGGACAGACGTATAAAAACTATGAACATAACCATTTTTATTTAAACGACTAGAGAAAACCTCTACTTGACTGTTGTTATTCCTGATATTTAAGGATATATAATTTTGTACAGTAACGGGGCTTGTGCGGCTCATAAAACACTTAATGGGGTTTTTTGGGTGATTTTACTTATATTCGGAAGCTGGAATAAGAAAGAAGTTTGTCTCAATCATCTTCCTCATTGAAAGCAAAAAAAAGATTGGTTCTTTCTCCTCCTTTTCCCCGAAGAAAGTGTGTTAGGGTTCCGATCATGACGGACTCTGTTTTGACGGAGCTAAACTGTCGCCCTTGTAAGATTCCGAAGTTTCACAACGCTTGCGAAGGATCAAAATCCTCCAACATAAAGCGCAAGCTCAAGGAGAGAGACGTCTACAACGATGAATATGTGCGACAGTACATACTTTTTCACTATCAGTACAAGAAATCCGAGGTAGAGTCAATCTTTAGTTTTATTCGCAATCTGGTATGAAATTTAGGATTCTGTTTTGCTTATAATCAGGGTTTCGCGATTGAATGATTTTGGGAGCAATTTGATTACCTGTTTAGAAAGAAAGTAGTTCTTTGAGTAGATAAATTGATAATTTAGGGTTGATTCGAGCTCTGATATCGAGTTTTGGAATCTGTTTGCTTATAATCAGGGTTTCGCTATTTGATAACTTGTTTAGAAAGAAAGAAGTAGTTTAATTGAATAGACCAATCTCTCGTAATTCTTCTTTCCTTGAAAAATTAGGGTTGATTCGAGCTCTGATATCAAGTTTTGGAATCTGTTTGCGTAATTACGGTTTCATGATTTGATTATGTGTTCTCAGTCTCTAGCATTCTTCTGTCGTTAGGGTTGATTCGAGCTCTGATATCAAGTTTTGGAATCTGTTTGCTTAATTAGGGCTTCACGATTTGATTACGTGTTCCCTATCTTTAGCATTCTTTGTCGTTAGGGTTGGTTGATTCGAGCTCTGATATCGAGTTCTGAAATCTGTTTGCTTAATTAGGGTTTCACGATTGATTGGGAGCAATTTGATTACGTGTTCCCGATTAGATCGTTCGATAATTCACCAAACCGTATTAGCGATACACGAAGCCACGCCGAGATGATCCGCGAGGTGACACTCTTCGCCATCGAGAAACACAACGAAGCCAAGGTCAGTGTTTGGATCCTTCTTTGGTAGATAAGTTGTCACTAATTCAATTTGCTTTAATACTCAAAATCGATTCATTCAGGGAACAAAACTTGTGTTTGTCGAGCACATTCGGGCAAATTACCTGTTTCTGAATGGCCTTGTCTCTTGGTTAACATTCTGGGCAATGGACATGAATTCATCCAGTCCAGAGTCGAAAATCTATCAAGCAAAAGTTTGGCGCCTCGGAAAATTACGGTTTGATATTCCCATTTTCAGGCTCAAGCCGACGGAAGAAGGTTGGTTTCTTTTACATCACGATTGGTTCCTGCTTTTTGTTTGCTATCTACATATTCCGATCTAAACCACTGTGTATCTATGCGTTGCAGAGATTGCTTCTGTTGAAGTGGAACCTCCCGCTCCCTTAGAATGTGACTCTGACGACTACCCTGGTACTGCTTCTTTCTCTTCATTCTTTGACCCAAGTTATAGTATGAGTTCCACATAGAATAAGTCGGTCCTTTTAATGAATGTGTTATGTTGTGTTCCTTGTGTAGTAAAACCAGCTGTAGTGTTTGCTCGACCTGGTCCTAATGATGATACTGGGCTTCCCTTTGTCTTCCATCGAACTGAAGCTGGTCGTCTTTGTCCTCCATCGAACTGAAGCTGGTCGTCTTTGATTGCTGAAAACAATGCGGATGTATAACTCATCCTAAACAATATTAAAATCTTATATTTCCTGTCTTAAGTTATCAGTTTTTTTTGTGTGTGCACCGTCTAAGTTGTCAGTTTAGAACGCTTTATCAAACCTTTATATTGTTGTATCGTATCTTGTGAACCATCTAATATGTACCATTTAACTTGGTTTTTGCTCTTTCAATATTTACAATTCTTCTCATCTTTTTATCGTTCCTGAATTGTATTTTCTCAAACTAGTTTCCAGAATATAATTTATAATTTATATATAGTTGTGATGATTTTAAAAGATGAAAGATTTGTTAAATTTGTTAATATTTTGTTTAATTTAAAGAGATTTATGTATATTTAGAAAATTTATCAAATTTTTTATCATAATAATTTTAAGAATTTAAGATATAAGATATTGTTGGACTGCAAAATGTGAATACGGTCTTTAAGAGTTTAACGCATGAGCAAGAATTCGAGGTGTATTAAATGCGTCATATTTACCGAAAAAAACTGCAATGATGGCGGCTAGGAAAAGGCGGAGCAGGTCGGTAATCTTTTCTCTGAGTATATGCATGGAAGAGTCCGTGAATGGTGATAATCATGGCAAAAGACAGAAGCCAGTACCCGACCTAGGGAACTTGAAACCCGAACCCGGGTCTGATCCGAAACCAGGTATTCTCTATAAAAACACTCATCGCGCCAACGAAAGGAGAAGATATCTAGAACGATAACTTCATCTCCTAGTTTCATTTTCAGTAAGGAACACGGCTCAATCAAGATCCTTCCAAGTTGATAGAGCGCCCCATACTTCTTCTTCCGATACTTTAAACAATCTTTGTCTAGTCTTGTGCCTTTTCTGACTAGAGCATCTGAGTCGGAAGTGCAACCATTTTCCTGTTCACCGAGATCCTCCTTCTTTGTTCTTTCATTGCAGGCTGTTCATCCCCCAGAATTCAAATCTCCCCCGCACGAACGATGACCAATCAGATCTCTCCACGTGGCATCCCCGAATTTGCTCCCGAACAGTTGATGCTAGAAGGAGGGGGAGAACAAGCCTAATGTTGAACGTGCTCCCCTCGGAGGTATGCTTTCAAGAGTTCTCCACCAGGTACAGGTTTATATTAAGGTATGCCACACCCAGGCACGTGCAATCTAACGGACATGCGGAATCTTTCAACAAGACCATCCTAAAATCCCTAAAAAAAACAGATCACTGGGCTCCGAGGAGCAGCGGCTGAAGAGATACCCAGAGTCTTGTGGGCCTACTGAACGACAGAGAAAGTGACCACAAGCGAGACTCCCTTCTCCCTAGCGTATAGATCGGAGGCGATCATCCCGGTAGAGACTACGAAACCATCATGCAGCACTGAATTCACGCCAATGGAGGAACAGAATCGGGAAATACTATACGCAAACCAAGACCTTCTAGACGACACGACGGATTCTGCGGCAATAAGGAACGCGTGCTATCAGGCCGAGGTGGCCCGAAGCTACAACAAAAGGTCTGATGTCGAACCTTTCGCAAAGAGCAGTGGGTCCTCCGTAGGATATTCTGTAACACCAAGCACCACTAGGGCAAGCTTAGCCCCAACTGGGAGAGGCCGTATGAGATCGTCGAAGCGCTAGGATCGGGAGCACACCGCCTCAGGGAGAAGAGCGGCAAGTGCCTCAAACATTCTTAGAACGCTACACATCTTAGAATGTACTATTTCTATAAAATACTTATGCGTTCTATGAAACCTGTTAATGTAAAATATTACTGCTTTAAGAAAAAAAAGCGGGTAAAACTCCAAATATACAAAAGCCAAGAAGCGGCAACCGGTTCTAAATAACAACAACAAAAAAAGGGGAAAAAGTCACCCCGACAAGGAATTTGACACGATATTCTCAGAAAAAAGCTCACACCGGGAACCTGAGAAGGGATGACCCCTGCAGGGGCCATCAAGGCACCCGTCTTCAAAGGGCTGATCGAAGGCAGAACGATAATAGGGGCGGTCCCGGATGGATAAACCGGACGAAGAAATTGAGCGAGAGATGTGACCACGTCGTCCACGGAGAATACCGGCATCCCCGCCGCTTATGCCTCTTCCATCGTCGCCTGATGCACTCTCTGTATACTTTCCTCGTCCAGGCACCAAACGCAGCACCTTGACAAGGTCCTCCGCCTTGGATGCCATCGGCTTCTCCTCAGAAAACTGGGCTCGGAGTTCCCCCATCTGGATGCGCAGACCATTGACCTCCGCCGCCATGCCTTCGAGACGCCTGATATCCCCCTCGAGCCGCTCGAGTGATATGCTGACTTAAATGTCTTTGCGGTGATGCTGATTCTTCTCTTCACGCACCCGTTCGACCTCTGCAGACTTTGAAGCCAGCAACTCCTAGAGTGAGATTACTTGGACTTGAAGGACAGAGGTGAATGTGGCTAGATGCACGCTCATGTTAACAGCATGTAAGAGAGAAAAGCAAAGAATCATCAGTCGACGCCACAAAAATGCGAAGACGAGAGTTTGGAAATGATCCCAGATACATGGCATCGATGGTAGCTGGCTCGATTCACGACGGCTGTCCAAGCTTTCCTTCTTCAGCCTGGAGACCGCCATCGAAAAGCCCTTCTGAACGGCTTTCTCGTACGCCTCCTAGGCAGAAATACGCTCTATCGCCCCATCCTCCTCCTTAGATACGAGAGCGATCGTCTCCAAAGCGGATCCCTCGCACCTGAGTGCGGAAGGCGGGAGAGAGCTCACCTTCTGGGCAGAATCCCCTCCGAGTATCTTTGACCCTTCACCCTTTTCCCCCTGCAGGGAGCGAGGGAGACGCGCCATGACAGAAGAAGAGGCCGGTGACGCCCCGAGAAAAATATGAGGACGTCGGGAGCTGTCTCCCCAGAAGGACTGTCGCCGGCAGGACGCTTCCGAGCGGTACGCTTCAAGGGAAGCAGAGATCCATCAGACTCATCCGAAGAGCCACCCCCATGTTAGCTAAGCTGGCAAAAAACTCCAGGGAACCTATCACACAATCCAAGGGCGACCAAGTAAAGACCCCGTTGGACGAAAAGATAGGCACGAGCGAGCTAGGGCGAAGAGTCAGTACCATTAATGGTGTAAGCAACGCCAACCGGCACGCAAAGGTAGCTGGCAGCAAGGAAACATTCAGATAGCAAAACCGATTGACTCCAAAGCTCGAGCGGAATCTCGATGAAGCGTCTCTCCAAATCGACGACGTCCTTTGGTTCCACAGAATCTGCAAGAAGACAACCGATTAGTCGATCGAAAAACCACGAGAGAAAAAAAGAGAGAATCACCTACATGGATCCCTCCATATTGTACTCACAGAACCCGTGGGATCAACCAACTGGCTGGGGCAGATCCCCGTCAGGCGACAGTAATCGATCAAGAATGCTGAGATGCGACATTGAAGCCCATTCGACCAACAGCCAGCGTAAAGTGTGATGCAACTCATGGGTGCTTGGGAAGCGGAAGCTGAACGGTCAAAAATCAGTGGCAGTGTGCTAGGGGGCGAACCGATTCTTGCAAAGTTCGAAAGCCGGCTTGGTCCCTAGCGGGAGGCCGAAAGGATCCCCGTCATGAGGATGCACCGAAGACTACAGGACGGGATCTCTAACTTTATATTCAAGAAGCAACGGTTCCCCTCGGCGGTCAGTGAATGATTTGGAGCGGCCGACGCCAGATTCAGAGAATCTCGCTCCTCTCCGTCTAGGTGTCCGAGACATAGACTAGCAAAAGAATCGAAGAAGTAAAAGAATCTTACCCATAAAAATGAAGAGAAAATTGTGGAATCAACGCAACAAGAGAAGCGGCTCCCGAAAATGGGTAATCAGCAGCATGTTAAGAAGAAAATACCATAAGCAGAAACGTAACCCTAGCAAAGAAGAGACTTTTGTGGGGATCGAAGCAATCCGCAAAATAGAAGTAGGAAAATCCCGTGCCACCAAAATAATTTTGCAGAAATCCAAGGACCAGCATGCAAGAACCTTCCCACTCTCCTAAGAAGCAAATCACTCGTTATGAGACGTGTCGATCGAGTACTGGGACCCACATAAGCGTGCCTGCCGCGGTGGGGCCTGTATCCCAAAAATTCTGGAATCTGGTCCGGGAAATCAGAAGCACGCCCTTCGGATAACTCCCTCTGGTAAATAGTCTTTCCAAGACTAGCCTCCAGTGGCACGTCCTCCGAAGAATTTCCTCTAGGAAATAGTCTTCCCGAGGCTAGCCTACAGGGGCACGCCCTCCAGAAAAATATCTTTTCGAAACTTGCCGCCAGGGGCACGCCCTCCGGGGAACTTCCTCCGGGAAATAGTCTTTCTGAAACTAGCCTCCATTGGGCATGCCCTCCGGAGAACTCTCTCCTGGAAATAGTCTTTCCGAGACTAGCCTCCAGGGGCACGCCCTCTGGGGAACATCTTCCAGAAAATAGTCTTTCTGAGACTAGCCTCCAAGGGCACGCCCTCTAGGGAACTCCCTCCAAAAAATAGTCTTTCTGAGACTACCCTTCAAAGGCACGCCCTCCGGGGAACTCCCTTCGGGAAATAGTCTTTCCGAGACTAGCCTCCAGGGGCACACCCTCTAGGGAATATCCTCCCGGAAGTCTTTCTGAGACTAGTCTCCAGGGGCATGCTCTCCGAGGAACATCCTCCGGGAAATAGTCTTTCGGAGACTAGCCTCCAGGGGCTTGCCCTCTGGGGAACATCTTCCGGGAAATAGTCCTTCCAAGACTAGCCTCCAGGGGCACGCCCTCCAGGGAACATCCTCTGAGACTGGTCTTCTCGAAACCAGCCTCCATGAAAACCACTACCAATACGATAGGGACTGGCCCGTAACGCAGGTATAAGCCAAGCTAGAATATCATGATCCTCTATATTTCAATTTGCATGCAGGAGAGACTTCTAAACCTTCTAAATGAGCTCTGTAAGTCGAGAACAACTCTTGGGCTGTAAAATGTGAATACGGTCCACGAGGGTCCAACGCGTGAGCAACGGATGCAGCAGGAACTTGAGACGCATTAAATACGTTGCACCTACAGAAGAAAGACGCAATGATGGCGGCTAGGAGAAGGCGGAGCAGGTCGGCAATATTTCCTCTGACTATATGCATGGAGGAGTCCGAAAATGATGATAATCATGGCAAAGAACGGAAGTCAGTACCCGATCCGGGAAACTTGGGAGCCCAAACCTGGGCCCGACCCTGAACCAAGTATCCCCTATAAACACACACTCCTCGCGGCAACAAGAGGAGAAGACATCTAGAACGATAACTTCATATTCTAGCTTCATTTCAGTAAGGAACACGATTCCCAAAAGCTCTATCAATATCCCTTCAAATTGATAGAGTGCCTCATACTTCGTTCTTCTAATACTTAAAACACACTTCGTTTAATCCCGTGCCTTTTCTGATTTTAGCGCTGGAGCGTAATCGGAAGGGCAACCCATTTCCAGTTTACTGAGATCCTTCTTTTTTGTTCCTTCATTGCAGGCTGACCCATCTCCCCAGAATTCAAATCTCTCCTGCACGGACAAAGACCAATCAGATATTTTCACGTAGCATTCCGAAATTTGCTTCCAAACAGATATATAGTAGATTGTATTTTGGAAGTTTTGATCTATGAATTAAAATGTTAACAATATTTGTCTTAATAATACAGATTTTAATTAATTTATATAAACATTAAAAATCAAACCTTTTAAATAATAATATATTTTGTATAAAATTTGAAATTTTTTATATCGATAACAATTGACTTTAGTAAAAATAATAAAATTCATCTAACAATAACAATAAAATCTCAATATTTTAACAATCATTACAACTTCATTTACCAATTACCCCCTTTTATTCTTTTTTAATATCGGATATTCTTATAAATTTTTGTAAAGAAAGTTGTTAATATCAAATCATAAAATTTACCATGCATATTCCTTCAAATAAAGATTAAACTAAAGTAAATTATCTAAATAAAAACTGGAGTAATCATTTTCAACTGAAAACAAACGGTCAATAAAAATCTATTTAAGTTTAATTTTTTGGTTCTGAATCTTTTGGATAGCCTCTCTTGTTTGGATAGATCACTGCAGCAAATTGAGACTGTGAGCGACCTCGTACAGGCTGACGATACACATAAGCGTATCCACCATCTCCCCAATTTGCTCCCCAGGAGTTTTGAACAATCCAGTAAGGTCTTCCATGTCGATCTCCATAGCCCACAATGATGACATTGTGTAGTATCGGGGAATCACTATCTTGGGTGCGATCATGTCGGTAAAGCCACTGTAAAACAGACAAACAAAAATTAATAAATAGACATACAATTTTAAATTAATAATGAAACATTGAGATTCAACTTACGTTTTCTCTATAGTTGTAGTCTAGTAGCGCTTCGGTGAATGGAATGAGAGCCAGAACAGGTTGTCTTCGAACCATTTCTTCGATATCAGCATCCTCTATGTCATTCAGCTGAGTGAAGCTATCTACGGTATAACAATTAACCTAAAACCAATAATTAAAATTTGATCACAAGTACTTATATGTATATATATATTATATATATATATGTAAATTTACTCACTTTTTTATGAGAACATTTTCTTTTCACTAACTCTCCACGTTGCCGACATTGGCTTTCCAAGCACACTCCAGAAGTCTTCACTTGATTCACAATGTGTTGAATCGACAACTCCAGTTGTTGTTCAAGGCGGACTCCTATGTTGAAGAGTGCTTGTACCGTTCTCACTAGCGCAACGGCCCAGCAAATAGCTGTATAAATAAATAAAAAATAAGTTAGTGGATATCAAATTACAATGCACAAAAGAATGAATACTAGATTGGAACAGTTACATATAAGATTCCCATTAATTTTATATGCAACAGTGTCACTGATGTATTTAATCTTATAAAATTATAACTCTATATCAACAAACGAGTCAACGAAATCTTGGAATGGATACAAAACTCTATTTCTCATATATGTACCTTGACAAACTTGATCTACTATGGGTCCAAGAACACCGGGGTATTCCCTCCAGTCCCAAGAGGAAATTGGCTAGATGCAACACACAAAAATGAATAAAACATAATTAGGCAAAACATAGATTTATGTGTCAAATTTAAAGAATATGTGAATAATAAATAACTTCTAAAAGGAATTATATTACGTACCTCATCTTCATAATCAGCTAATGTAACCACTCTTACATACTCCTCAGATGATTCTCCAGGATTCTTTACAACTCATTATCAAAAAAAAAAAAAAACTGTTCATTTAACAAATTTCTACAAAAAAAAAGCTATTTTTATTGACCGAAATCAATAAAACAATTATATAGATAAACTACGATTTGTAAATTGTGTATGAGCCAGTAAGTAGTTGTAAAAAAGAGAGATTTGGGTTTAGGGTTTTGAGAAATGCCAAATAAAAAAATGACAGAGAAACTCAGATTTAAAAAAACTTACATTCGCTGCAGTGTCGTCTTCATACAATATTCCTTTTCCTTTGTCCATTTGGAGCTTTAAACATAGAAAGGAAAAAAATAGCACATTAAAATCAATGTTTATGATTTTTTTCCCTAAAACACTATATCAAAAAATGAAATCCCTAAGAATTTGTTATAGAAATGAAAATCTTTTAGTTGAATCAGAAAGAAAACAAAAGTTAAAGAAAGAAAACAAAACCCAGATATCAAAGCAAGTTATACCCAGTAGATCCTTTAGGGTTTTAAGAAAAAAAACGAAATTTTGGAAACTATACATCAATTTTCTCAAAACAGTGAAAAGCCCATCAGTTTTATGAAGAAAGAACAAAACTTTTTGGTTTTAGTATGAAAAAAAATACAAGAAAACAGCTATCTTACCCAGATTATTTATCAAAACGAATGAAAGAGAAGAGAGACAGGGAGAGAGAGAGATATATGGGTTTGAACTTTCTTTGAGTTGAATGAGACAAAAATAAAGATAAAAAATTCACAATATTAACCGAGTTCCTCAGCACACTAAATGGCTCAACATTTCATATATATACATAGAACGTTATGTTGTTCTATTATTCTTAATTAATTGTAGACGGATAGTACAAACAATTAGTTTAATTTCAAGAGATGATTTAATTTATTATCTGTGTCATGGTGATTTTGGTCCCATACGAATTCGATGTTGTTTACTGCATGAGAAATAATGGCTTTTGATTATATTTTGCCAATCAAAATGTTATCGATCTACGATCATTTGTGTACATCGACAGCCGTTAGTGTGAGATTTCGATCATTTGTGTATAAAAAACAAACAAAAATAGAAATAACACAAAAACACAATGTCTGTTTCAATTTTGATCATTTGTATCTAAGATAAATCTAACGCGTGTTCACCAAAAACAAATTTTAATTTTGATCATGTGCAAATGTTAATAAAACACGTTTTAAGATTGTTTTTGGAATATGAAATAGTTCATAATTTTTTTTAAATAAAATATAACCGTTGGAGATCACTAAATACATTTTGTCTTTTTCTTACAAAAACTGTAACAATAAAAGCTTGTTTTCTTTTATTTTCAAAACATTACACACAAAAAAAAAAACTTTATGCTCTAGCCTCTCTTGTCCATTGCAGTACATCTTGTACACTTATGTACACTTCTGTGAAATTTACTTTACCACTTTTGTAAATAAAAAAACATTTTAGTTCCATGTAAATATCTAGATATATTTATATATATAAATATTTATTATTTAAAAGTGGGAAGGACTAATGGCACGTACAAATCACAAGCCATTTTACATGTTTTCCTCTTATATACGTGGTAAGCGAATCATGGTGTGTTTGATTCGATCGAATGGTTTCATAATTCTAACCCATGAAATCTCATAAGATACCAAACTTTTATAAAATGATCATCTGTTTCATCTATAAGATACTAAACTTTTATAAAATGTGTTTCATCTATAATATCTACATACAGTAGATTTTAATCTTAATAACCAAACTAAAATCATTTTTTTATGTTTACTTTGTGTTGTTTTGAATAAGCATCATCTCTTCATGCTACGTAGATTTATTATTGAAAAGCAAAATTATTTAGAAGATGTAGTGTTTGTTTTTAATTTACAAATAAGTGTCCCCAAAAAAATTAATAAGCGCAGTATAACTTGATTAAGGAAAGAACCCTAAAGATGCTCATTGCTCATCCGAAGTAGAACTCTAATTTGTCTCTGCCCTTGAAAGAAAATAAGATTTTAATTTTTTTGTCGGCCCGCAAGGATGCACATGTGTCAGTTTCATAGGGTATTAATGACTGTTATTTCAAGAGATGGCCCACGACTGCTAAATTCGTCTAATATTCCCCGTGCTTCATTGAAAACAACCGAGGAGCAGTACTAATTTCTAAACACACTAAACTGTTCAAACCAATTTAGTTTGTTGTTAATTAATGTACCCTTAATTATAAAACAATAGCATTACGAACTGTTGATGAATAGTTTCATGTGATCATTTAATTGTTATGCATGGTCCCATTCGATACGATGTTGTTTAGAGACACGAATTGATGTGTGAAGAATATTTTTTGGTTTGGTAAACCTATATGTTCTAAATTCCTCATATTTATTACACTTCGAAACAGACAATACATATATCTCTTTAACAAAAAAAAAGACAATACATATATCCACATTTGGTACATCTTATATTTCATCAATACATGAAGGTATAGAAGATTGTCTTAATTAAGAGAGGCCCGGCATCGGTTATTTGCTTTGTAGTTTTTTACCTTTTTATTTGTTTTTTTTACTATGGAAAATTACTAAATTATTAATAAATACTAGTACCAGATTTCTACAACTTTAATTAATCTCTCTAATAATTTGGATACCAATGCTAAAATTTAACAAGAAGACAAAGATGGTAAAAAATTAACAAGAAGACAAGTAAAATTATATACTCTATGAATAAAATAATAATGGATTAAAGATAGAGACTTTATTTAGTAATAGATAGATTAAATAATAATGCTAATAATATTATTAAATATAGTAATAATGGATTAAAGATAGACTTTATTTAGTAGTCCACGAATATAGTATTAATCATTTCAAAAATCAATTATATTTTTGAAAAGTTCGAACATCACGATATATATATATATATGCTTTGTAATTTCAAAATTGATTTACAAAATTCAAAATGTACAAGCGAATAAATCAATCAATCAACCACAACCACAATAACTGAGGGATGTTAAGAATTGGTGATGGAAAATCAATTCTGAGACGTGTATAAACCGAGACTGGTTAAGTCGAATTAAGGCGCTGGTTATTAGGCTTCTTAGTTGGTTTTATGGTTTAGTGTTAACCGGCCTTTCTCTGTAATTGATCTTGGCATATAGCTGAGTCGCGAATGTATCTTCTTCTCTGAATCGTTGAGTTGCTGTAACAGAAAAGAAGAGAGAACTTGTAATCTTGCGATATAGTGGATTGCTTGGATCTCCAGGCCGAGACATAGGGTTTCACATTCCGTGAACCTGAACTCGTAAAATTTCTCTGTGTTGTTTCATCTTCTTTGTTTCGTGTTTTGAGTTCTTGAGTGTTCGAGAGTTGTGAGAGATCAATCAGAGTTTACAAGATCGAACAAAGTTCATTCAATTTTCAATTCGTGTTACTACAAGTGGTATCAGAGCTTCGTTGGTGCGATGAGCGAAGCGATGGCGAAAGTTACAGTCGCCGAGTTCGATGGTACCGGAGATTTCTTGATATGGAAGAAGAGGATGCTCGCACATCTGTCTCTCATGGGGCTCAAGGATGTTCTAATTGAAACGATTTCTGAAGCGAAGGCGATAAAAAAGGGCGAAGATCCAGAAGCTTACAAAGATCGTCTACAACTCGAAGAGATCAACAGGCTCGAGCGAGCTGAAAGGGCCATGAATATGTTGGTCCTGAATCTTTCGGATCAAGTCTTAAGGAAGCTGGAAGAGTACACAACGGCAAGTGGAATCTGGGCAGCTCTTGAGAGGTTGTACAACGTTCAAACCCTTCCAAATCGAATTCATCTACAACACAAGTTCTACACCTTCAAGATGACGGATACGAAGTACATCGACCAAAACATCGACGATTTCTTGAAGCTCGTATCATGATTGAGCAGTGTGAAGGTCGTTGTCACTGAGGAAATTCAAGCCATTCTTCTCTTGAACTCGTTACCAGCAGCGTATAGCTCCTTGAAAGAGACTCTGAAGTATGGAAGAGAAACTCTCACCATTGAGTCAGTAACGAATGCTGCTAAATCAAAGGAGATAGAATTGAGAGAGGTTAAAGATCTCATCAACGCTCAGAAAGGTGGTGAAGCCCTTGCTGCTCGGGGTAGATCAGAGAGAAGAGAATCCGGAAACAGAAAGGGAAAGAGCAGATCTCGTTCTAGTTCAGGTTCCAAGATCACTTGCTGGTATTGCAAGAAGGAAGGTCACAAGAAAGCTGACTGTTTTGCACGAAAGAGAAAGATGGAGTCTGAAGAAGGTGCCGAAGCAGCAGTGGTGATAGATGTGTTGCAAGATAACAATGCCCTGACAGCTTCAGGGGACTGGCACCAAGACAAGTGGATTATAGACTCAGGATGTTCTTATCACATGACGTCGAGGCGTGACTGGTTTACAGAGTTTGAGGAAGCAACATCAGGGAAGGTTCTTCTAGGAGATGACTTCTCAGTGGAGGTCAAAGGCATCGGCTCAATAAACATCAAAGCGTATGGAGGCACAGTCAAAACTCTATCCAATGTCAGGTATGTTCCTAAACTAAAACGGAACCTTCTCTCGACTGGAACAATGGATAGATTAGGATTTGATCATGCTGGTGGAAATGGAAAGACTAGGTTTTATAAAAACAAGAAACTAGCTCTTCAGGGAACTCTCGTTGGTACTTTGTATCTGTTGGATGGTGAAACTGTAACAGGTGAATCTAACAGCAATGTCTCAAAGAAGTTGGCAAACGACGAGACAGTTCTTTGGCACAGGCGTCTTGGACATATGAGCTTGAAAAACCTGCGAATCCTAGCTCAGAAAGGGATTATTGATAAAAGAAGAATTGGTGAAATGAGCTTCTGCGAGAGTTGTGTTATGGGTAAACACAAGAAGACCAGCTTTCACATCGGTAAGCATGGTACAGGAGAAGCTCTTAAGTACGTTCATTCAGATCTTTGGGGGTCTCCGAATGTAACACCGAGCATGTCTGGGAAGACATATTTTCTGTCTATAATAGACGACTACACAAGGAAAGTGTGGGTATTCTTCTTGTCAGCGAAGAATGAAGCCTTTGAGAAGTTTGTTGAGTGGAAGAAACTGGTCGAAAATCAAATCAGCAAGAAGGTTAAGTGTCTCAGGACTGACAATGGCTTGGAATTCTGTAATTCTGCATTTGATGATTTCTGCAAGCAACACGGTATTGAGAGACACAGGACGTGTGCTTATACGCCTCAGCAGAACGGAGTAGCAGAGCGCATGAACAAAACTATAATGGAGAAAGTCC